TGAAAAGGTGGTTAGAATCACTCAGTCTGGCAATCTCCAAATCAAACACCTCAGATATCCTGACTTTTAAAATTTTAGCAAGTATTCATTTTAATATTGTTGCCAGGAAAAGTGTTGATAATTACCTTGGTTCTTGCATTGTCAGGAAAAGAATTCAAGCAAGGTGCAAAGATTATAGTGAAAGTAAGAGTAAAATTTATTAGGAAAGGAGTGAACTTTTAACAGACTGAAAGAGGGTTGCCTCAAGGGAGAGAATGAGAGATCAGGTTTTAAGGTTGGAATATTTATTGAGAAACTCTTAGCTTTGGGTCCTTTTGGCCCCTGGGGTAATTTCCTGAGTTTGGGTCATTGTCTTGTTGAGAGATACTGTGTTTCTGCTCTAATTGGTAGAAAATTTCTGTTTGAAATTCTTAACCTTTGCTCTATCTAACGCTTAGGTTTGGGGCTTTGTGTTCTTAAATATACTAGTGAAAAAATGCCCCTGCACCAGACCTCGTTGATATTTAGGATGCGGCTTACTCTTGGGTAAAGAGTAGATTAAGCTATAGGGTAGTGGCTAACTTCAAAGCATCCTGTGGTAGCCTCTGGGCTCTGGAGTGGAGATTAGTGGAGCTGGGAAGTTGAATTGCAATGAGATTTTCCTTTCTACCTCTCCTGGCCTCTGCTACCTATCAATTTAACAGGGTAAAGTAGAGAGTAGTGGGAGAAAAAGGAAGAAACTTTTCTTGTTCTCCATCCAGGAAGGTGGGAATAAAGGCTCAAAATGGCATATCTTGTTGTGGTCTTTATACTTTCCGAACTGGGAGTAATTCACCCTAATCCTTGGACAGTGGTTTTCAGGTGGATAAGATGGGTGCTGTTTATTATTCTAAAATGTGTAGATGGAAGTAGGCCTACCCATAGGGACAATAGGTGGGTTCTAGGATTTCCTTTTACCAGACATGCCTTTCATTTCTTCTTCTTCTATCCCTTCAAGAAGCCCTGCAGCTTCTTAACATATCAAAGGGAAAGGCAGAGGCAGGCAGCTCCTCTAAATCCCTGTCCTTACAATTTCTAAAAGGAGGTGATAGGAGCTTGCTACTGTTTTTAAATTTTTCTTCCTGGTACTAATGTCTGTGTCTGGCCCTTTTAATATTTGTTAATTTTAATTTCCCTGTATCCTCATCTGTCTATCCTGCCTCATTTTTCCTCTAAACAACTTTGGTCCTTTTTAATCTTAAAAAGGGGTACAGAGGGTCAACAGTCTGTGTTCCATAGCTGCTTCTGAGTTGAAAGTGGACTGTTGGACCACTGTCGACCTAGTGAGAGAACCAAAGAGTTGTTTCCCTATCCTAGTTAGGAGGTGACTTAGGAAATTCAGTTCACAGGCTTCCAGGACCAGAATATGTCAAGTTACTCTTTTAGTAAAAGAGAAGTCAAAGAGAAATTAGTGAAAACCACCCTTTAAAGGTAAAAAATGTAGGAAGCTCTCAGAGGCACTGAGCAGCTCAGGGTGCCAGGGTTAGAAGGTATGATCACTGGGGTTGGGGCCAGCCAGAATATAGATACCCTGGCATCTCTCTGGGTATGCCCCTCCATAAATAATCCAGAAAGATTCTGCCTTTTGTAGGAGAGAAGCTACATTTATGACACTACTTTGATCACAGATTTCTGACACTTTTCTTTCTTTGGCCTCTTGCCACCTTCTTGGGTTTTTCTTCTTTATTGAGAAAAAATCCAACCAGTGCTTGGATTTTTTGCTTCTGTTGTTAATTTCTTTGCATTTTTCCTTCCCACCATGTCCCTTCTATCTGCCCATAGGTCTGTTTCTCTAGATTGGATTCTTTGATGGCCCTGGCACAGGAGCACTGACTCTATGTCTATTACAAATTTCATTATCATTATCATCTTAAATGTCACCCTCCCAGGATTATTAACATAAAACCTTGGCCTGCTTAAGAAACAGAGAGTTACTGAGACCCCACAACTTCCACAGAAGACCATCTGAGAGAGGGGAGTTCATGCTCCTCCCTTTACCCTGTGGGTATCTTAATGAGTAATTCATGTCAGTCAGTAGCCCAAGCCTTCACATTCCTTCTTCTCTCTGATCCTTTCCTGCCAACTACAAGAAACATGCTCACCTGTCCAAACTCAAAGAATGGACTCAGAGACTTGTGAAGTACAGCAAAAGTGAGACTTTAATGACAGCCTTGCAAGATCCAGTGTCAGCTTGGCTGACACACCCAGAGCAGTTACAATAGGCATTTTATCCCTAGTACGCAGGTCCCTCTGCTGGTTCCTGATTGGCTGAGTACTGTGGGGGTATACAATTTCTCGGAAGTATCCTAAATTTTATTGTTTCATATTGGGTTATTTAAAAATATGCCTCTCTTAGGATTGGCCAAATTTTAGAAGTCTCTACCCTCCTTTGTCTCTTTGTGGCAGGAAGACCTCTGTGATATCTGCTTTTTGGCACATACATAGTTTTTATCCATTTCCTCATTTCATTATGGATTACCCCCCCTTGTCAGTTGGTCCCTCCCAAAATCATGTTTGTGACTTTCCAGGTGCATGAGTTTTGTTAAGTATACAAGCAACTATGTAAGCAAGTTATCAGCAATTTTCCATTGAGGGTTAACTGTTTTGCCTTAAAAATGTACCACCACTGACTTTATCTCTAACACAACCACTCAGTGTCCAGGCCGTCATTTCAGCCTTTCCTATCAACAGAGGCAAGTTACTAGCTTGGGTTCTGAAGTCTGATGACTATTCACCAGGTCCAAGTGACCTTAATGGAAAATGGTTTATTCATTTTGTAAATAGCCAGTGGCTCTCTGTGGAATAATGTGGGACAATTGGAGGGATGTGTGTCTAGATAGAAAATTAAAGGTGTCTGCTTTCCATTCCCCAAGGAAGAAGAGCTGTAGCTCCTGGCTGTCTTAGGATCAGCCCTCCCATGTTTGCATCCATTAAAGCAGAGTTAGATGGAAGCTGAAACCAAGTGCCTAAAAGGTTTGGCTTGCTTATGGAGGTATCTGTGACCTCATTGTGAATCTTACCAGACTAGTGTCAAGAAATTCATCCTGATCTTGACTTGATTGCATCTTGTAGGCTGATGTTTTCCAGAGCCAGGAGTTTGGATTCTGGGATGTCTAAACCAGAGACTTACTCTCTCTGTAAGCCCATAAGTCATAAAGTCACATCTTCCTTCCTTCCTAACAGAACTTCTTTCTAACCTACTTCTGTCCCCACTACCATGGTTATTGCTGTGAGCCATGTCAATCTCAAAGGCACAGTTTATTTATCCAGCCCACAAGTATGTATTGAATGTCCTCATGTGACAGGTACTGTTCTGGAACCACAGGATACAGCATCAAACAAAACCAGAGCTAGTCCCTGCTTTCAGGTGGCTTACATCACAGTAGGGGCAGACAGGCAGGAAATAAGTACAAATGTCAATGGTATATTTGTGGTGACATAAACAAGGGAAATACAGCAGAGTGAGCAGACACAGTGGGCAGAAGGAGAGGAGAGGTTTTTGGATGAGGCTTTTTAAGGAGACATTCAGATGAGAGGATGTTTGAGTAGAGAGCAGAAGGAATTGTGGAATCAATACCTTTGAGTCTTGGGGAACCAGCATTCCAGGCAGAAGGAAAAGCCAATGGAAAGGTCATTAGGTTGGGATTATTTGGCCTGCTCAAGGTAGATGAGGGAGGCCATTATGCCAGAGATGGGGAAGAGTACAAGAAAGTGAGAAGAGGGAGTGGCAGGAATGAGGTCATGCATGGCCACGTGGCCGACTGTGAGCAATTGAAGTTTTACTCTGAGTGAGCTGAGAAGCCCTGTAGTGTTTGTGACAGAGGAAATAATAACCTGAATTGTGTTTTAAGATTATTATCCTTGCTTATTAGTAGGGGAAAGGTGTTTGGGCTAAATGTGATGGAAGGCGTGTCTTTGGGGACCACTGTGGTGGTCCAGGGATCAGAGGGTGGTGGGTTGGCCCAGAGGGGTAGAATGGGTTAGGCAGAGCGTCATGGATGCTTTGATCAGCCTTACTCCATCATTCCTACTGCCTCCAGTGCCAGCACATAGGAGAATAGGATATGTGGTTGTTCAAAACCCTGGAGTCCTTGGGTAGCCCCACTTGGTTCAATGTGGGTCTTGTTTGAAGCCTTATTTTACTTTCAATTCCAGATTGAAATGCTTTCTTTAATCATGAAAATTTCCAGGAAGAAAATATAAAAGCCTACCTTCCATCATTCAGATAACCCGCTTATACAATATACACCATTACCTCATTACATAAATAAAATGTACTAGTACATATCCTACCCATTTAGAGATTGCTTCAGGTGGAAATGGATTCAGTGATCTACCTGTCCCTGAGTGGGGGAGCTGTCTAAATGCATCTCATGTCATCCTTGGGCTGAACACTATGTGGCTAGGCAAGGCATTGGGGGACTCTCCACCCATCCATGTAGGTTGTATCCGAGGTAAATTGTTAAAAGCTAGATTTATTAACAGATTGGCCATATGCTTCAGTTTGTGATGATAAAATGAGGAGGAGGAGAAGAATGTGTGTGTGTGTGTCGGGGTGGGTGAGTGTGTGAGTATGTATATGTGTGTGTGAGTGTGTGGTGCTGACCTATGCACAAAATCTCTAGAAAGATTCAGGACCATCTGGCAGGTTAGGAAGGAGGACTAAGAAGGAGGTCTTAATCAGGGTACCTTTCTGTGCCTTTTGAATTTGGTGCTACATGTTACCTACAACATCAGAGCTAGAGAGCTTGGATCCAAAGCTGACCTCCCTGATCCCAAAGCCTGAGCCCTTTTCTTGATTCTGCCCTGCTTCTGTAGGGTACTTCTGTGTGTGTGTGTGTGTGTGTGTGTGAAGGGGGCAGGACAATACATTAAGCACGTGAGCTTATGTGAGTCATAAAGACTGGAGTTTCCACTGAGACAGATGGGCTCTGGATGGCGACTGGCTGCCTGCTAATTTTGCCTTTTTTTTGTGCACTTAGGGAAAGAAAGGCGATGTGGGCCAGCCAGGGACCCCTGGAGCACTGGGTCTGCAGGTAACTACTTTAAATCCTCTTCCATAGCTATGCTGCTTTCTCTGTCTCAATTGGTGACTAGGTAGCACTTCTCAGGTTGGAAGCAAAATCCCATTAGTCATCATCAAGGCATTAAAAAGGATGGTGAATGGGCCATCTGATCTCTCTCTCCCCCTCCCTTGTGTGTAGGACCTGGTGGTACAGGCAGAAGGGCTGTTGTTTGCCCTCCTGGAGAATTTTGATATAGTGGAGGACAGACCGTGATGACGAAAGTCATCTTTTCTTAAGAAAAGCAAATGGTGGCTGGGTGGGACTACCAGGACAAGGTGGGCAGGAACTCTTCCATGAGGAAGCTTACTGCCTGTCATTTGCCATCACTAGGAATTAGCTAAGCTTGGGAGGGGCAGTCCCTTTCTTGGACCCCAAGGCTTCAAGATGTCAAAGCATCATTTAAAAGCAACAATGAAAAAATAACATAGGACAATGCAATCCATTGAGCTGGGTTTTGGAGACGCAGTGGATTCCATGGAGGCCCTAGGTGGGGTCCCTGCACAGGTAGATTATATAAAGTGACGTTTTCTAAAAAGAGTAGTGGTAATGGAGAGAAAAAAGACAAACATAGTGTTGTCTCCTATGGTCAAACACTCTCTTTAATTTCCATGTGTTTATTCTTCATAAGTGCCTGGGAGCAAAGTGTGCTTTCTCCCACTTAAAATATAAAGAAACTGAGCTCATGACAGTTGAATTAGCTCCATGTGTGATGGGCAAGCCACTCTGCAGCCCCACAGCATATGCAGCCCCAGGGCCACTGGCATCCTATTAGATGTTCTTGGTGCCTCTTTTCCAACATGAAAAGTATTGCCTGATGGAAAATTGAAAAATAAACATACACATCCATGCTGTCCTATGTGGGACTCTTCTCTCCTAAGGAAAATGGAAATCCGTGTGTGGTCTGGCCAAATGTTTATGCAAAGGAAATTCTGCCCAGTGCTCTGTGGAGGATGAAGACCCTTGGATTGGTGGAAAGACAGTCAGGGGAAAGGGCTAGCTAGCCTGAGCGCTGGGTGGGCTTCTGTGCCTGTGGCCTCTATGATGCTAAAACTCCTGGAGGTGGGCAGTGATCGAAGTTGTGCCGGGACCAATCTCCTGAGGAGAAGACACAAATTATGAACACCTTCCCCTCAAAAGCAAGTGGCTCCCAGTTGCACAGGGAATTTGATTGCTGTGCTAATTTATGTAAACAATCTTCACGCATCTTCAAATTCCACCTGAATTAATAAGTGCACTCCAGTTGGAACTAGGTGCATTAGTAGTAATTATTTGCTTTTCTTTTATTAATCATAATTAGGTTAATTAGTTACTTATGCATCATCATCGTAACTACTAATCACATTTGATAGCTGTTTAGTCACTGTAACGTAGAAGGATCAATGGTCCTTCATTAATAATAATTGGACTGATTGGTTAATATGTAGAGTCATTACTTCATTGTTTTCATTTGTAATAATGAAAACCGTCATCATTTTGTTGTTAACATTTAGATCTTTTGGTTATTTTGTCAGTCATTAATAATTTGATTAATTGGTTATTTAGATAGTTAATGATTAAAAGAGGAGGTAGCTCTTGTGAAATCCTGAAACATTCTGTAGTCCACCTGTAATGATTTGTTACCCTGTGCCCGTGGTTGGGAGATTAAGTCCCAGAGGCCCAGTGCCTAAGCCCTTTGAAGTAATATGAGACCAGTTAGTGTTTGACCCAGGGCAGCCTAAACCAAAGCCCTATTTTTTCAGATATACTCCTGCCCAAAGAAAGTGGGATTTGCCTGCCCCATCTTGGGAAGTTCCTAACATTGTTAGTTTTGCTCTTTAGTCTTCACCTTCCTCTAGCGCCATTCCTTTCTGGAAACTGCACTCCTCACCTACAAAAGAGGCAAGAGTAACATGGAGAATCTGCAGCTTTGTAGACTTCTCTGTGGTAGAGGAAGTGGAGGAGAGGGAGGGGGCTTCCTTGTCCCTGGAAAATCAGGTACCTACAGAAAAACTTAGAAAAGTTCAGTGTTTTCATTCTATGATTTTGCAATCAGCCTTCCAGTTTTATTTGGCAGTGGGCCAGTGAGGTGACTCAAATGACTGTTCTGCTCCAGGTTGTTTAACTTGATTTTCAGGAGAAGGGTCCTGCAGAGAGGGTTGTAATAATTAAAGTTAATCAGGGGACCAGGAAGGGTGGCCCACCCTCAGCAGTATTTATGGAGCTTCACCATGAGGGCCCCATGGCCACAGAAGATGTGCAAGAGTCATCCCCCAGGAAAGCTGAGGTTATGCTTAGCCTGCATGTGGAGTGTTCTCTTATCTAGAAAGTACAAAAATCCTGCCTGGAGAGCCCAGCCAACAACGCTGGGTCTATCAGCACCCTCTGTCCATTCCCACTTATCCTAGCACTCCGTCTCTCTATCTCTCTCTCTGTCCCTCTCTCCTCTCCTCTCTTCCCCTCCCTCCCCTCCTCTCTCTTCTCCTTCTTCTACCTCTCTCTCTCTCTCTCTCTCTCTCTCTCTCTCACACATATGATTACCAAGGCTGATTTTAGACTTGCTGAACCAACAAGTCTTTGTCACATGTCGTGTAACTCCTGGTTACTGTTGCCTTCCCTTCCCTGCCTGCCTCATTCATCCTTGTGGCCTGCCTTGCTCATAGGCGTTGGAGCTGAAGACCTCTCTCAGAGTTCTCCCTTTCCTGTGTCCTGTGGTAGGTTTAGTAAGTGGCAAGTGTGATGTGCCAGGTTTTTGGATCCAGGAACAGGACAAGACCCCTTCTCATGAGTCACCCATGATCCAGAGAGGAAGGAAGATTTCAGCCCCCCTATACACGCACTTTGCTCATTCTGATATTGGACATAACCAACCATTGACCAAAAATGAAAGCACCTGGGTGTTCCCAGGTAAAAGCTACAGTTCCTTCTCAATATAGATCCCTAGTTTTCTCTGTCCCTCTGCCAGACAGAAGACAGACCCAGGGAGCACACCTATTTCTAAGCACCGAGCCAGGGGTCTTCCCCGTTTGCTTTTTGTGAATGCTCTGACTTAGCCAGGGCAGGTGTTTGTCTTTCATCACTAGGGTCCTTGGCAAATGTACCCCATCTGTGTGGATTCAGATGTCTCCTTCTCCCAGGCTTCCTGGTCCTTGGAGAGATACTGGGAGCTGACATTGTTCTTAGGATCTGTGTGGTCTTGGTTTGTGGGGGGGGTTTCTTCATGTTTCCTTCTCTCTGACTCAGTTTCCTCAGTTTTGATGTTGTATTAATTGTTCACCTTGATTCAGGAATATTTATGGAGAGTCTCGTCAGACCCTTTTCTGGGGTAGGCATAACAGAGACCAAAATATAATTTTCACACTCATGAGAGCTATGGCCAGTAGGCTGTGTGCCAATTGTCCCATGCTTCATTGTGCTGTCTTCCCAGAAGTACATAGTGGTGCAAGTTCTGCATTTCACAGTCCAGGAAACCAGACCTTAGTAAACCCAGGAGCTTGCCCGATGGCTGGAAGTAGCAGGCAGGGCTTCAGTTGGCTCCTTGAGGGTTGTGCTCCATTGCAGCCCAGAGCTGTGGCCCCAGCTGGACTCCTGTGCAGGAACTTGCACACAGACAAGAGACAGGTACTAACCAAGGATCAGAAAGCACTATGAGTAAAGACCTCCTCCAATGCCAGGCATATGGTAAGTGCTTTAAGACATTACATTTTCTCCTTGCCTTATGGGGGAGAGGCTGTTCCCCACCTGTTGACTGAGGAGTGGCTAATCCAGGTCCTCCTGGGACACTATCCCTGCCCTGCTGGTCCTCCACATAACTGTCAAGAAGCTGAAACAGAAACAGAGCAAGTTTCCTAGAGCTGAGGTCTCAGCTGCACAAGGTGACCCATCACAGTCTGAGGCATTTGAGCCCTCCAGAGGCAAGGCAGCTGCTCTGTGCAGATCTTCTGCCACCTCTGGGTCTCTGCTGGCAGGATACAGCACACACCATCAGAGCAGAGCCCCCAGGGTAGGCTGGCTGGAACCACATCCTGACTGCTTCCTCTTGCCACCCCTTTCACACCCATCCCACACTCTCCCACCTGGACTTGCAAGATGCTCAGCTCTCTGTAAATTGGAAAGGATGCTGGAGGCAAATCCCTCCACCCCTTTGTGTAACACCTCCTGGGACATGTTTCCAGACTTTCCAACAGCTGTTTCCATCTGCTTCCGACTTCACTTTCCCTCTAAATGGCTACTGAAGTTATTCGGTTTAATTAGGGCTTTTCTCTTCATCCTGTGCTTGCAAGCCAGGCCCTCTACCACTTGAGCAATGCCCTCAGCCCTTTTTGCTTTAGTTGTTTTATGAATAGGGTCTCATGTTAATGCCCAGGCTGGTCTGGACAGTGATCTGCCTGTTTACAATTCTCATGTAGCTGGGATGACAGATGTGTACCACTATGCCCAACCATTGATTGAGATAGGGTCTCACAAACTTTTTGCATGGGCTGACCCCAAACTGCTGTCCTCCTTATCTCCACCTCTGAGTAGCTAGGATTACAGGCCCGAGCCCAGCATGTTAAGAAGCAGACCCTTCTTAATTCCTTCTGTGTGTATAGCAAGGAATCAGGTACTGGGGTCTTTCTTACAGGGAAGTGGACTCAAATCTTCAAACCTGTATTTATAAAGTCCTAAGTTTCAAGCCACTTAATATGGCAAGACTCTTTTGGGGGACCACATTGCTCTCTTTCAAAGGTGAAATGAGGCTGTGAGCGGGGGTGACACCTGCATCCTGAGGGGAGCGATGCAGACCCTTCACAAGGTTGGAGTGCACAGTTTGCCAACTGTGCCAACTATCAGTTAACTTCCCTCCAAGTTGCAGTTCTTCCTCTGCAGCCTGGGATGGAAGGAGCTCCAGGCACGATCAGTGTGGAGGCTGAAACAAGATGTGGCATATAAAACGCAGGCAGAGCAAACACCAGCTGCTGTGCATGGCTGCTGTGCATTGTCCTGGGTTTCTGTTTTTCCCCTCAACTGTGCTCCCGGCATCATGCATATGGCAGTGCTGGTGTGTGTGTGTGTGTGTATGTTATGACTGTTTGTGGAGCTGCCCTTCAGGACCAACCCCATACCTGGGGATAAGCAGATCCACTCGGTGTTTCCCAAGGCTTTGTTCTCTGGCATGTGTCCCAGAGAGTCAAAACAAGGGATCAGTGCATCTGTACTTGTAGGAGCTCTCTAGATGATTCTGCAACTGCTGGACCATTCAAGAGTCACATACCTCTTCCATGTGGAGAGGATGGTGGTATGACCACCAGTGAGGTTCTTACCTCCCCAACCTCAGTTTTCTTCACTGTCAAGCACGGAGGTTTCATTTCTACTAGATGATTACTAAAGATGCGGAGAGATTGGATGCTGCAGCCAGCAGTAGCGAGGGGCCTTTGTGAGGGATGAGGGAGGAATGGGGGAACAGAGTTGGAGTAATGAGGCTTGCTTCCTAAGAGAGCCATTTTGAGAGGCGCCAGCACCACCAGGAGTATAAGAAGGGAAGAAAACAAAACATGCCTGCTGCTAATGGACAGAGCGCTGAGTGGTTGGGAAGGGCCCTTCAGATAGCTCTGTGGGTTGGGTGCTGTGAGGCCCTCAGAGATCCTGCAGAAGGAAGGACAGACAGTAGGAGGCCTGCAGGTGAGTCCGTGATGCAGCCTTCAGGGCCCTTGCTTTGTGGAGAGTCAAGCAGAGCTGGGCTGGAGCAGCATGTGGGAGAAGTAAGACAGAGTCCACAAGGTGAGGATGGGAGGGAGCCACCCTTACTGCCCTCTTCCCCCGGCCCTCATCTCCCTCCAGGGAGAACCTGAGCTTGGTCCCTGCTCAGCTCAGAACCAGCTCCTCCAATGAGTGCAGATGCTATTGCTAGGTCTACATGAGCTACAGAGAAAACTAAATGCAGGGGCTCGAAAAAGTCCTGCCCTGAGAATGTTCCCTTTTTTGTGCCTGCTTTTGATGCCTATGTTTGACTCACATGCTCCTCCTGGAGGGAGAAAAGGGACTAGTTCATGGATGCAGCAGCTCTGCAGTTCTTTAGTGTTTATTGCCCTCCTGTGGCCACGTGTTATAGTTCTCCAAATGCAAATCTCTTCCAGTCCATTCAGATGACTTCTTCCAGCATTTTCTGAGCTCCTGCTCTGAGTCCTACTCTGGGCTAGTCTCTGCGTGAGATGCAGAGGGAACAAAAAGGGATTGTCCTTGAGAGTCTGTGGATCAGATGAGCAGTTACCCTGGCCTTGAAGTTAGGAGGAGTAAAAGATTAGTCCTACCTGGGGAACTGTAGCCCCTCTCAGGAAGGTGGAGCCATCTGAGGAGGAAGTGGAGCACATGTCCAGAGGAGGCACAGGTCATCTACAACTCCTTTAAGTTGTGTGGAGCAGTGGTGTATGTGGGGGGGTGGGGAAGGATGTCGAGAACAGACCTGAAAAAATTCAGATTGCCAGGCAAATAAGCAAGGCCATAATCATCAGAAAATAGGAGCCCTGAAGATTCTTCAACTGTGGTGTAACTAGATGTTCTAAGATGAGGGGGTTCCTGGACGGAGGGGAAGCTATTGAGTCCTTGCCCTCTCCAAGGGCTCCATTGTTGCATGGCTACAACCAGCTCCTTGCTTGCCCCCTAGTGTCTGTCTCTTCCCTAGGTCTCCAGATACAAGCTGCCTTTCTCAAAACATATGTGATCTACATGTGTCTTCCTAGGCTCCTTTAATTACTCCCAAGATCATCTTTACAAAGTCGCATCTCTACCCTGGTCCCCCAGAGACTCCAAGTCCTGGTCCTGTGAAGGTCTTGTTTCCATATGGAGCTGTTGGCTGCTGTACAAAACATACTAGCTTTAATTCCACTGTCCTTATTCACCTGGTTTCACCTGTGGTTGTCTTCCTGAACCGTGGGTGATTTTTTCTGCTCTCTTCGGAACTCAGAGCCTCCTCTGACCCCTAGCCTTCCTCCCCCAGGCCTATGGCCACACCCTGCTCTGTGATCACAAATTTATTGGAGCTCTTACCTGTTTTTTGTCTACATGTTCTCCCTTCTCCACCTTCGCCCTTGATCAAGACACTAATGGCTACTGTCCCAAGCCATTAAAAGTGCCAAAAATATCAGTGTAGGCAATGAATGATAGAGGTAGTATATGAGTCAGACTGGTCTCCATGGAGTTGAGGGGAGAGCTCTTATAAGCGCAGATGCAAGACTCTCCCCAGACCTATGAAAAGCAGCTGAGCAGGGACCTAAGATCTGTGCTGTTCATACCAAGTGATGCCAACCCTGGTGTCAGCTTTGGTCCCTGACTAATGATTGGGAATGGTCTGGAAGAATTTGTGAGTGAGCAACCAACCGTGTGCATGTGTGTGCATCCACTTATATGTGTGTTCTCTGTAAATGCTCAATGAGCTTAAACATACAGCACAATGGATAATATAACAGATGTTATATATGCATCAGCCAAATAGGACTCATCACTGCAAATTTTGCTTCAAAACTTTTCCTTCCTCCCTTTTCCTTCCTTCCTTCCTCCCTCCCTCCCTCCCTCCCTCCCTTTGTTCCTTCATTCCCTCCTTTTGGTAGCACTGGGGTTTGGTGGCACAGGGCCTCACATTTCCTAAGCATGTGCTATACCACTTGAGCCTCTACGCCAGCCCTTTTTTGTGTTGGGTATTTTCAAGATAGGGTCTTGTGAACTACTTTCCTGGGCTGGCTGAGAACAACGATCCTCCTGATCTCTGCCTCCTGAGTAGCTAGGGTTCAGACATGAGCCACTAGCACATGACTTATTCCATTCTTTTGAAACAAGGCATTATGAATAAAGCCCTAACTTGTCACCATGCTGCCTTCCCCCTTTCTCTCTCAGGTGCCAGCAATCACCTGGAGACCACTCTGTGCACTTTTGTAACTACCCCCTGCTCTCTATTTACAGGGGCTCCCCGGGCCAGCTGGTGTCCCAGGACCCCCTGGACCTGGAGGTCCTCCGGTAAGGCTGGCTTTGATATTTTTCTCACAAGGGTACTTAAATAGCAGTTTCATGACCTGTGGGTCCCAGAGACCTCTTTGTATAGAAGCCTGCCTTCTTTCTGCCCAAGTTCAGTGCAAAGGCACGAACAGGATTCCCCTCATGCAGACACCCTCAATTCTGTGCTCTCTTGAGGTTCTTTGTTCATAACACAAAGCCAAATAACACATGAGCCAAGGTAGCACTTTGGTGGTGGCTTCTAGGTAGCATAGGAGGCATGTCAGGCAGTGGTTGTGCCTCAGGCATCTGTAGTAGTTTGTGGTTTGACTTTGAGGTAAGACAGAGGCCCAAGGAAAATTTGTTAACATTCTCCCCTCCCATCTTTCAGGGAACAGCTGGGAACAGTAGTCACTAGGAAGAACAGACCCAGCAATGGGCAGAGGGAGGCGAGTTCATCCATCTGCCAGATGACAATAAATATGACTGTGGCAAAGGGGGTCAGTCCCATCCATCTACCAGGTGGCCACAAATATGATAGTGGTCCCAGCTGCACTGCAGACAAGCTGTGGGATTGCCAAGTATGGAGATGCAACAATTCTGTATTTCATAATGGCGGCACAGAGGGTAATAGACAGCCGACAAGCGCTTGTCCGAGCCAGAGGCCTGGACCTGTGCCAGGAATAGTGTTGGGACCAGGCTTTGCTCTCCAAGTAGCCTGACTGTGGTTTCCATGTATTTCCTTTACAGGGTTTACCTGGAGAGATTGGCTTCCCGGGCAAACCTGGGCCTCCTGGACACATGGTTAGTGTTCCAGGGCATCTTCTCTTGTCCCCTTCCTGTCCTCCACGGCCTCATGATGAGGCTGTGGCCACTGAAGGTGTGATTCAGGACCCTGGCTTTGGTGCTTGCTCTTCTTGATCAATGTCATGCTTCCATTCATCCAGTGTTCCCAGCCCCTAAGTAAGCCTGTCTTCCTGTCCCTCAAGAGGCTTTGACTCTCAGGAAACCTGCTCTGTGTGTAGGTTCTCCATTCACTAGTCATCAGGTCAGGTTGGGGACACAGGGAGATATGAACCTTAAATTGGGTAGCAGCAGGTTCTATGGAAAGAGAATCACCAGGATTAGAAAACATTAACTTTTGAATAGCACTAATAGGTACCAAAGCAATAGCTTGTGAGACAGTCTGATGAGGGAAATTATTTCCCTTATGTCTGTCACAGGGAAGTGTGTATGCCCTGATCCATCATTTAAGGCACTGAGAATAAAAGACAAGGTAAAGTATCTTGGAATAGTGGAATGTACCTAAGACCCTTGAGAGTCTCCATGACTAGCTCTGTGACCCTGAAGAGATAACCCAACCTTCAGTTTGTCTCCTATCTGCAAATAGCTGCACTATTGTAAGGATGGGGATGGAGGAAATATCTAGAATTGGAAAATTTAGCATGGAGCTCCTTTGTGCTGTTAACAGAAATGCAAGGCAGTGAGGCTAGCCATGCCAAGAGATTGGAGTTTGCTTTTTTTAAAAATTATTTTTATTTTCTGTGGTACTGGGGTCTGAGTTTATGGCCTCTTGATTGCTAGGCAGGTGCTCTACCACTTGAGCCATGCCTTCAGTCCTTTACTTTTGTGAAAGACAGGGGGAAGGCAGGATTTTAGCCGGAGTGAAAAAACACGATGGAAAAGAGAGTCCAGAGAAGAGAGAGGGAATGATGTGGACAGTGTTGTCACTTCTTGGAAGCCAGGGGACCATCTAACCCACTTGTGCAATGCATATGTCTAAGGAATTAGAACCCAGGCACTGATAAGAGGGTGGTATTTGTTTCCATCATGATGGGATGTGTAAGGAAAGCCTGGCCTGTCAGGCACTAGTTGATCTTGGGAGAGGACACACCTAATAAAGGAGCGTTGTGCATCCCAGTCTCTGGCTTTAGAATTACCTGGCTTCACACAACTTACTACAAGGCTTCCCTAAATACACCTTTTAGTTTAATTTTCTTTCTTTCTACTCTTGGCTCAGGGGCCCCCTGGAAAGGATGGGCCTAATGGACCACCAGGCCTGCCAGGATCCAAGGTTGGTACTCACTGATGGCATGAGGCTGGGAAGCAAAAGCACAGGCGCAAGAGATTCTTGGCTGTTGGATTCTAAAGAGTCAGTTGATCGCCTGGGTCTTGGATCAGGACTGGGTTGAAATGTCTGGATTTAAAAGATCAAATGTGAGGGATTTATTTCTACTCAGGTAATTAGGGGAAGATTTGGAGGCCTTGGGCTTGAAAATCAATTTGTTATGAATAAATATTTATTTAATGGGTAAGGAGAAAAAACTTTCAGCTACCTTTACTAATATAAGAGAGTTTAATTTAAAGATACTCCAATGGGGCTCATTATAGCAGCAGTCTTAATGTAAGAGCCAGAGGCTAAATATCAGAATGTGAAAAAGCCAATTCACACTTGGATAAAGATACAACAAATATTTTAAACAAATAAATTTTATTCCTTCATTGCAAAAATGCATGGGGTCAAATGTGCATGTCAACAGTCCTTGAATGGCCACTATTAAAGGTAACTCATGAAAATTATGGGGAAATTCATTGTCCTTTCCAGTAAACAGACTTAGACACTCAACTTTTTCATGAGGAAATACAGAATAATAAGGGACTTAACTTCATATAAAGGTATTTTATATAAATGTTTTCCATTCTTCTCCTTTATCCCTTGGTCAGCCAAGCTCTTTGTATTCTTAAGAACATTTATGCAACACCTTCTGTACTCTAAATTCTACTCAATTTTATGTTTTAAAATCTCAATTAGAGCTATGGAATATGAAGTATAGGAGGTGATGTGCTCTGCTGCTTGATCAGCAGTTAGGCAACCACACATGACTAGCGTGCACAACCACCCAAGTACAAGTGATCCTCTTCCTTATCCATGATTAACTAGTACAGGGTATGTTTAATCCAAGCAAGGTCCTCCTCCTATTAACTTTACTTTGCATTCCTTATAGGGAGAACCAGGGGAAAGAGGGGAAGATGGCCTACCTGGGAAGCCTGGACCTCGGGTATGAGTTTGCCTCCTTCACTGTTATGGTTGTTACTCAGATGGTGTATTTGGGGTTATGTGTTAATTTGAACTCATTTCATAGAGTGGGTTTCAGCTTGATTCTGGTAGGAAACATAGATGATTGAAAGGGGGCTATTGTAAGGGCTGTCTGGGCCAAGGGCCTGCAGCAGGGGTGGCAGCATGAGACTGGTGACGGCAGAGGCAATGGCACCTCAAGGGTAGAAGGTACCAGGGATAGGAGTGGATACTGGAACCAGGGAGGCCTGCAGCTGAAGGGGGGACCCCTCCAGCTATAGCCTTGGGAGAGAGAATGTCACATTCACTGACTGGCTTGCCCTGGGGAGTGAGTCAGGGGACCAGAGACACTTCTCCCTTCCTCCCTCTGTCATTTTCTCCCTCCCTTCATTTCTCTCTCTTTCTCTCTGTCTTCCTCAGTTTTGGTCTACCTCTAATGATCCCTAGTGACTTGACCCCATAGAAATGCAAAGGCAAATAAGACCATCCTGGATAGTCTGTGGAGTTCAGTCCTCTTGGGCTTCCAGCGGGTGTGGTATGAGTTGTGGTTGTGGACAACAAAGGCTACGTCGCATGTGAGGTGGGCAGGGCACTCTTGTGACTGTATTGCCCTGAGTACAGTGTTGTGGTACGTATCACTGTGTGCCCAGGCTCCCTCTAGGAATGGCTGCTTCACTTGGAGGCTGTCCAGATGGGCTGCAGGATCCTGTTTCCCTTGAGGCCTACAGCTAAAAGTCTCAGATTTAGCCTGGGCTTAGAATGCTGCCAGCACTGAGGAGAGGGCAGGACCTTGCGTATGTGCTTGTACATGTGTCTACATGTGTATGCATGTGTACAAACACCTGCGGATCTGAGGATTCCAACCAGTCAGGAGACCATCTGGGGAGGCTGTCCCCTCCTTCCCTCTGTTTACCATGTTTAAGGCCAGTGGCCAGATCTTGGGCACCTCTGTGTCATCTGCCTCCAGCCCTCAGTAAGGCATGTCCTGGATGTTACATAAGGGTGGTAGTAGAGGTAGGCGACCCAAACAATGTATACACATGTGAGAAAGTGTAAAAATGATAAAATAAAATAATAAAAAGGAAAAAAAAAGGGGTTGGCGGGGTGGAGGGGCTTAACAAGTCAGCCCAGCCAGAGCACAAGAGTGGCCTGGACTAAACAAGGTGAGTGGTGCTGACTGGTACTGGCCCTGTGGAAGGCACATCACAGGTTACCTCATTACTGGCAGTGAATGTCCCTTTTTCCCTCTTTTGCATAAGCAGTCTGTATTTAGAAGATCTAATTAAAATGAAGCAGAAAAACAGAATAAATTGCATACATGCATACAGGGACATCCAGGTTGACTCAATCTGTGGAAAGTATTCCCAACTGCCGTTACACAGCTTCCTGTGTAGAACTCCACATTTTGAGAACCCAGCCCCGTGCTCCCATTGTCATAAGCAGAGCATCCTTCATTTTTAAGGTTCAATATTGGTGGCTTTAAAAAAAAAATGATCCTCAAATCATTGGACTATAGCAATTTTCTATGTTTTTCCATGCTTACTCTGTGGTGGTTGTAGGGTGGAGATCACATGGTCTTAAATGTTTGAGTGATTTGTCAAAATCCTGTCATTTTCCAGGAAGGATTTAAAGCATTTGTATAGGTTTGCTGTTCCTTTTCATTCTTGAATTCATAGATTGTTTTTGAGTCAACCATATCTAATAATCATGTTTTCTCAAATTTGGGAATTGGCAAATCCTTTGGGCTCATGCAATATGAATTTCAGCCCTCCATTCAGCTGTTGTCAGCAGCAGCTCCTTCCCCCATGTTACCCTGTATGTGTGATTCTGCAGATGGTTGGTTATGAGATGTATTGGGATAAACTTAGCAGTCCCCTGAGGGATTTCTCTAGCCTTTGAATCTGTGTGTTTTATGCTTCTGATAATCACTAATGATTGAAAGACTCAAGCAGAGAAACCTGTTGCTACATCTCACCTGGGCCATTTTTGGGCAATTTCTAGTATGTGTATTTGAAATATTTCTTTGAAAGGTTCGAAACTGGTGGTTAGGAGCTTTTCAGCATAGTTGTAGCCCTAGAGGAGACCTACCTGCCATAGGGCATTGTTATTTTATTTTGACAATGTGCCAAAATAAAAAAATTCCTGTTTAAGACAATGCTAGGTTGATTTGTAGGTGGCAGACCTTAGAGAGCCCCCTCTAGGGAGTGGGGCTGGTTTGCAGGATATGTGGATGGATCAGCATTTTGAGACTCTCTTGAAGAACTCAAGAGGTTGGCCAATGCATTCTCCATTGCACCTTTGGATGGGGATTACAGGAATGATTCAAGGATTTTCTAATCACCCTCAGCCTCTTATCCTTCCTAGGCATGTAGAAAGTAATTCCCTCTTCAGATGTGTTGCCACCCTAGCTGATTTCAAGTGACAACTTGAGTGATGAGTATTTGCTCAGTTCTGGTTAGAGTGATTCTTACTAATTGTGCTTGCAAACATAGGGAATTGATGTGCACACTGGAGTGTGTGTGGAATCCAGGTACCAGTTCCCACTGCAACACCGGAGCTCAGGATACATGTGTGTGTATACTAAGCAATATTCTTGGTTACTTTTCTTTCTTTCCTTTTTGTTTTTTTTTGTATTTTGCATTCCTTTCTGATAAGTATTGGTGGTGCTGAACTTTGACTCCTTATGTGCATGAGTACCACTCATTCATTCATTATTTTTTCATTTGTCCACTCTTCAGAAAACCACATGTCCTCATGGAAATCGGCACCAACAGTTTTACTAAATAGCATAATAGATATTAAAAGAAATTGTCACTCAAGAAGCTAGTGATTTTCAAGATGCATGGTTAGTTAGAAGTTATTATCCTCCCCCCCACCCCCGCCAACACACAGCTGTTTGCCTCAATGATTTTCAAGGGCCTGGTAAGTAGAGAAGTTTGGTGCTTTGGGGTCCAGTACAGAGCCTCTCTGATCCTGTGTCTCCCACTTCAGCCTAACCACAAAGTGCTGGTTAGGAATGGTCTTAGTCCCTTTGGATTGCTATGACAAATATTTTAGATGGGGTGACTTATAAACAACAGAAATTCACTGCTCACAGTGCTAGAGGTTGGGAAGTCCAAGGTTTAGGTGCCAGTGGATTTGGTGTCTGGTGAGGGCTCTGTGTTTCATATCATGCCTTATAGTTTCATCTTCATGATGGAAAGGCTAAACGGCTCTCTCCAGCCTCTTTTTTTTTCTTTTTTTAAATAAGGACACTAATCCCATTCATGAGGACTCACTCAACCTCATGACCAAATCAATTCCCCAAGGCCCTACCTCTTGATACTACCACACTGAAGATTATGTTTCAACATAAGATTTTTTATGGAAAACCTTCATCCCATAGAGGAAGCTAATGGACAAGAACAAAACCTCCAAAGAACAGAACCAGTGCATATCTCTTTGGGACATGCTTTCTAATATGAGCTTGGGTGTTTCACAGAGCATTTTTTCCCCAGGATGCACCTTTATTGAAACATACCATGGGAAAGAAGAAATAAAACTCCCATCTACCTTTAACCACAGGGATGGGACTGCCTGTGTTTATGAAAAGAGACTGAGCAGCAATCAGGGACACCAGTCCCTTGGATGAGTTCTTTTACACATTCTCTTCATTGCTGGACCCAGGGGTTATGTTCCCTGGTGTGTCACAGGACTCTGAGTTGGGGGTGAACCTAGGAGTCATAGACTTTTACTCATCTTTTTGAATTATAAATGTTTGGGTTCAAGATGAAGGGTTCAACCTGTGCAAACACTGGCAGAACAATTGCAGGAATAATTTCTTTGTGGAGAAGCAAAAGACAATAGGAGGGAGCATGGAACCCCTCTTTCCAGAAATGCTGACCACATTGAACCCTTAATTGTGCTCCATATTTAAGAACTAGAGGTTGTGGTTGGCAGGTGCTATGGATGTGTGGGCTCAACAGTCATGTCTGAAAGTGTGTATGGAAGATAATAGAGTATCTGTTATTCTGTCTCCAGGGTGAAGTTGGGGAACAGGGCTTGGCAGGAAGACCAGGAGAGAAGGTTTGTTCATTCATGCCTTTATTCATTTATTTACTCATTGTTATACAATAGGTCTTATATATAAATACTTCAAATGCCAAGAGGAATTAGCTGTGTCTTTGGGAGCTCATTATATTCATTTATTGCTCAACAAGTATGAGAATGCCCTGTGTATCCACTGCTATATTAGACATTAGGGTCACAATCATGGACCAAGGTAAACTGGACACTAGACATTGAACAGGTACAGTGAATGGTGGCATGCAGTGTTGGTGAGGGGCATAGGAGAGGCTTTACAGACTTGGAGGAATGTTGGGAAAGATGGTGAAGAGGTGACATTGTGATTGAGTCCTGAAGAAAAAGAGGTGGAAAGGGCTTCCTGGGAAGTAGCCCAGGTGGGAAAGAGCTTGGGGATGCTCCAGTAGATGGAGTCCATGGAATTTCCTTATCTGCAGTGTTTAGCTTTTCTAGAACCTGGAGACCTCTAGGGGGCTGGAAAGCAGCAACAGGAGAGTTCATGGCCTACAACCTGTCTTATAGGGGAGCCCTCACACTGATATCTAGTAGACAGAGATGCCATTTTGTTCTCACAGGGAGAAGCAGGTCTCCCAGGCACTCCAGGCTTCCCAGGCGTGCGGGGAGAGAAAGGAGACCAGGTAAGTTTGGCTGCATCTTACCAAGGCTATCTTGCCCACGTCCATAGAAAGCAGCCCCTTGTGGAGTCTTAGTCCCAGTGGGGAAGTAATAATTTTGACTGGGTGAGTAGAGTTGTTCTCAGTATTAATGGCAGAGAAGTGGGAGCAGAATGCCAGAATTCATGAGGTGGAACAAAAGGTCAGTGTTTGGGAGACACTTTTAGAAAGAGCAGAGGATCTTCAGATGGGATTAGTGGGAATAAGAGGTAGGAAGGCACCAAATTCCAAGGGCCAGATGGGAAACTAGATGCTTCACATGTAATTGACAGGGCTGTCTTTGAGCAAGGCTTTGTTTCTTATCTATTTCATTGATAAGGCAAGGGTATTGAAGAGAGAGAGAAAAATATATACATGTGTATACATGTTGTTCAAAGTCACCTTGACCTTACCCAGAAGAGGCAGGAATTAAGCTTTGTTTGGATTCTAATGTTTTCTAATTGTGTCTTTCATAACAGGGAGAAAAAGGTGAACTGGGACTTTCTGGACTGAAAGGTGACCGAGGTGAAAAGGTAAGAGCTGTTTATTTTCATCCTGATCATCAGTTATCACTAGCTGCTGATTCCCAAAGTCTGAGAATTTTTTGCTAATTTTATTTGTGCAACTCCAAAGTACATTTCTGAGAAAATAATAAGTTAGACATAAACTTTGTTTGACATAGTAGTAAACTTGAAGAGACTATAATGGAATCAGAGATGACATGTCTGTCCATCCATCCATCCATCCATCCATCCATCAATCCATCCATTATCTATCTTTTTGTTCTCATACCGCTTGAAAATTGCTTGAGCTTCTCCTATATGTCAGGTGCTGTGTTTGACTTTTTTGATACTCAATCTCTCTCTCAGTGCTATTGCAACTTTAGAAGGTAGGTATTGGTGACCTGAGTTTGTTGATGGCAGTGGAGGCTCCAAGGTGAAGAACTTGCCAAGAATCAAACCCTGTGTGCTCTGACTCTTGTGTTCTTCCCCTATATTATACATGAATCAGTGTGTGTTGCTACTTGTGAGTGACCTAGAGCCAGCCTCAGAGTCAAAGCAGACTTTCTAAGTGGAGGGGATGTAATTTATATTTCCTGAGCCCTACTGTATGCCGCACAGTGCACAGAGGGGCTTCCTCTGCATTGCTTCCCTGTACCCACTGCAACAGACCCCATGTCCTCCAGGAGGAGCACACTCAAGATGGACAATGAAAGAAAGTATAACGAAGTAATTGCATGTATGGATAGTGTTAGGGGAAACCAGTCAGGTGGTGAAGTACTCCAGGGAAAGGGACATCAAGAGGCCAGAAAGGTCAAGGAGAGAGAGCTATCCTAGATTCCAGAGAGGCCTATGGCCATAGAAAAGGGAGTCTGACAGTCATCCTTGCCTCAGGGAAGGTCATATCCAGCCTGTGGTCTGGCACTGTCCCATAGCCTGGCACTCCCAGTACCTCATCCTATTTTTCCTCAAGCCCCTGATCTGCCAAAGCAGTGGACACCAGAGGGCAAGGATGATGAGGCCACCTGAGAGTGCAGGCAGAATGTGGAGATGTGCAGGGGTGGATATGGGGTGACAAACAGAAAATGAGTGCAAGTATCAAACATCACATTGCACAGGTGGAAGAGATGAAGCTCAGAGAGCATTTGATGCATGCCTGTGAAGCTACAGAATCACTCTTCTAAGACGGGTCCCAGCCCCTTCTTAGAAGGGCAGCTCCTGCTCAGAATCCAGCAAGCAGGCAGGCATGGGTGTGGTGTGGAGCAGAACCAAGCGGGTGCCTCATATATTTGCCTCATACCAAGCCCCAGGGAAACCTATGGGTATTGGAAACTACACTGGAAGCTGGACTTCAGTGCAGTCATTGAACTTGAGGACACATGTGTGGGAATGTTTGTTGTAACAAGCACACTGGCTGTGATCAAAATCATAGGAAAACAACCTCGATGTCATCAACGAGAAGGTGGATGTGGATAACCTTATGTTCATATGGAGAGCAGAATATCACACAGTGATTTAAATAACCACTAGCTATACAGATCAGTATAGAAACCTCTCAAAACTTACAGTTTTATATGTCAGAAATATTTTAGGATTTAGAGTACATGTATGTGCCTGTCTTCCTGTCTACCTGCGGAAGCAGGTGCGGGGAAGCTGTTCCTGTTGTCTAGGTGAAAGTGGTGCTATCAAACCTGTTCTGACATAAGCAGAGTTGGCACAAGGGCTGATGGTCATTTATCTTCCATTTCTTCATCCAGGGTGAAGCTGGTCCAGCAGGCCCCCCTGGTTTACCTGGAACTGTAAGTTACTCTGCTTCTAATCCTTTGTCCTCTGAATTTCTAACACACACGTACATACCCCACTTAATAACAAACATCCCCTGTGATTATTGCCTTACCTTATTCATCAAAAGACAATTTCTGTTTATCAGAACATGTGCAAGACATGGAGAAACTGAGGTCCAGAGACAAGAAGCCATTTGCCTAGGATGAGACCACAATACTGTGACCCAAGACTAGGACTCATCCTCTGCCCTCATTAGGCACTGGGACAGGCATTGTGAGTTGGTGTCCTGCAGCAGTAAGAACCAGGGCTTAGGGACAGAAGGAACTGGCTTTAATCTCTGCCATTCACCAGCATGATGGTCTTAGATATGCCATCTAATTCCCCAAAGAGTAAGTCTTTTTATGTGTCAACAATATTATACCCAGTTATCTTATACATTTTTAGTGAAAATTAACTGAAAGAATACAAAGTACTTAGTTGAGCTCCTGGTGCATAATGAATTCTAAACCCAAAACGATCTGCTATTGTTACTATTTATGTTACTCCCAAGAAATCTGAAATGGAGCTATATTTGGAATGTTTTTCATTTTAATGTTTCTTCACAGTCTTGAGCACTGATTTCAGGGAAGGAGCACATGGCCTTTTGGGAGTGTCTCGGGTTGATTAGTTACTGGCCCAGAGCAGGGAATGGCTTCAGTGTGTATGGCAGGGGAGAAGAGAGGCTGAACACTTTGGGACGCCCATTCACAGTATGGCAAAGAATCTTTCTGTGCAGTTTTGCCAAAGTTAGATCATTATCTATAGCTGGTTCTCCTCCCCTCTCACATCCCCATCAAAATGAGACCTAGACATTCTATCAGGATGTGGGAAGAGTCTCAGAATCAAAAATTTAGAGCCAGAATTGGTTGTATTATATTTTTGTTTAAGATTTGTAAAACCCCATGTTGACAAGCATGCAGGGAGATGAGTGCTCACACCCTTCTGGAGGGACAGCAAGTTGGTTACACCTATGGTGGGGTTGCTTGGACGAATTGATACACCAGGAAGTTCTACTTTTGAGCTTGGATATTCCGTGTCTAGGCTTCCATCTCAAAGAAATATTTGCATGTGTGCATTTTAAAAGGCATGCATAAGGATACACATCGTGCTCTCACTTATAATGAAAAATTAGGAAGAAATCTACATGACCATAAGCTCAGAACTAAGTTACTCACAGAATATCCATATCTCAAAATTACATCTTATAAAGAAATACAATATATAATATATACATATATATTCTTGAAAAGATATACTAAGTGGAACATGACAATTGAAGTGGTCAAAATCAATTTGTAGATCATTATGTGTTCAGAAATTAAGAACATAGGCTTATACCAACCTGTGTGGATGGTGGTTCCTGACCAGACATGAAAGAGCTGCTTGAACTTCATTAGGGGGCTTACATCTCTGATTTCCAATTCATAAAGCAGGGCAGAGGCAGATCATATGCCTCTTAGTTATGTGAAGAATCATTAGTTAATGAGTGTGAGCAACTGGCGATAATGTACTCACTTTTACTATTTGTATACTTGCTCAAAGTCATGTATTTCTACACATTCATAATTGTGTGGAGACGTATAAAAATTCTGTAAAATGTGTTAAATTGAAAAACTGGCTTTGGGGTAAGAATTTGGGACCAGAGGGTAGAATTCAAACCCCTCTGTTTTGAATTCATCCTGTTTTAGGACTAGCTGCCTTGGAGTCCCTTTGTCCACTTATCTGCTCCTTTGGGCTTCTGCTGTGAGCCAGGAACTGGCATGGCTTAGGCCTGGTGGAGCTTATAGCCTCCTAAAGGAGATTTACTGTAAGAAAACAGTGGCCAAGATAGATATCTATCCCAGATTATGGTAAATGGGAACAAAGTGAAGTTGAAGAGAATAATAAGGGATTCTTATTATTCTTATTAGTATTATTATACTAATTTATATTTAAGTGGAGAAGGAAGAAGGGGCATCTTTGAAGACATTTGGAATGGCCCTGAAGACTGGACTATAGTTAAGTATAGGAGGAGAGTGTGTTGCAGGCTAGATGAGCAGCTTTTGTGAAAGTGTTGAGGCTGAAGAGAACACGACTGCTATAAGGATTCAGCATACTCTGGATGGATGGTGGTGAGGCTGACCAGTCAGGGGAATCTATGCTGAGACGGTTTTGCACAAGCTGGGATTACCATGAGCCAGACTGGGCTCCTCACGCTTGTCTCCTCTGTACCACTGTCCTGCCTGGCACAGGGCAGGTGATGATACTGGACAAGGAGACATTGAAGCCTGACTACAAAGCCCCAGGTGCCGCTCCAATTGCTTGCATGTATATTCCATTTTGGCCTCATGACACTAAGGGGGAGAATGCTTTGTCCCCTTTTTGCTGATGGGGACATAGAAGTTGAAAGATGCTATCTAAGGTCATAGAAGATTTGGGGCACAGGGCACGGAACTCCAGGACGTCCAAAATGAACTTCTGTGCTTTTCTGCCTGAATACACTCTCAAGGATTTACAGAAAGATGCAATTCTAATTATCAAAACTAATCATAATTAAAGAATACTTTGGGACTGTGTTCTTTAACTTGGCAAATCTCTCAGAGGTAGCAGGATTTAAAAATGAAATGTCAGGCTTCATTGGTTACCAGCTTTCTAACTTCTGTGGTTTCCTTTTCAGACATCCTTGTTCACACCACACCCAAGATTGCCAGTAAGTAGCAGTGACACCTTGTGTTTAGCCTGGAGCCCTCAGCCTGGCTGGCAGTGGCAAAGGTTGGGTTGTGAGCTTGGACTGGCTTGAGTTTGACTCTCAGCCCTTCATGCTGGTTAGCTAGGCATCTGGGCTTCCAGACCTCATCCTGGTAGCCTTTCAGAAAAAGTTCCTGCAAGACTGGCTTTTGGGTCAGGCAGGATACTCCAAGGACATTGTCCAGTAGTCAAGGGCAAAGACCAACATTTTTTCAGGTAAACTTACTTCTGCAGTTTCCAAAAAAGCTGGTGGTTGAGGGTGGAAATGTTTGAGATGGCAGAACATTAAGGAGTTGGAGGGATGCATGTTTCCTGAATGTGTGCAATGGAGGGGACCAGAGGTGGGGTCACCCTGGGCTGAGGGAGGCTGCGCTCTCCCTGAGAGACAGAAGAGACTTGAGCATGCTTCTGTAGCCTTGGGGGTTGGCCAAAGGAAGGAAAACTTGTAGACAACACAGCACTTATCAGAAAAATGAACATCATCACCACAGCCCCTAGGGAACTTTATCCTGCTTTTTCCATCAGTAGCTCTTCTGGAAATAAGTATTTTCAGAATCTTTTCATGCTGTTGACAGCACTGAGGCACACGACGTACCTTTACTTGTTTCTTTTGTGGTTCTTCTGCTATTAGGTCATGACACTCTGCTCCATCAAATGGACAGCTGAATGGCTAGAATGGGGATATCTAAATTTCAGCCATGCTTTCTCCATTTTCTCAACAATAAGTAGATGCAATATTAAAAAGTCTAAAAGGGTTTTGTATACACTGGAAAAGAATGGAGCAGGTGGAGAGAATGAGTCAATGCTGAAATCTTTGTAGAAGGAGAAGGAAGGATTTTGCACTTTGGAAACAGGAAGTAGTAATAACAGGGGCATTGCTGGGCAAGTGTTAGACGTTGTTGGGAGATGTCAGTCAACTCTCCTTAAAAGAATTACTCAATAAAGAAGACAATTTCCAGAATGTTCACAGGAAAGGCACATAATGGGAGAGTAGGAGTGGGCACTGCCTTGCTCTCCCCTTTGAATCACAGCAATGGCATCCTTCCTGCAGGATGTGTAGTTTTGAGGTAGCCAGGAAGCTGCTCACAGAATCAAAGCAAAGAAATTGTGTCTAATGGAAAAGAAGTCTCATAGCCAGCAATTGCATGACTCTCTCGGGGACTTGCTCATTGCCATGGCAACTGTGTTTGTATTGATGGATCTGGAAAGTGTTATTGTGTTTGACGCCTCCCTCTCTCCTCAGTTGTGTGCCTTTGAGGCCCTGCAGTACAGGAAAAGGCAGGATTTAGAGGGACAGTGCAGTTTGATGCATAATTAAGAGAATAGAAAGTGAGAGAAAAGGTGGAGAGAAAAGGTGGAGAGAACTCCTCATCCAGGGTTGAGGAGGCTCACAGGGGTGGCTGGTGGGCACGACTGGGTAGGTGGCACAGTGGTAGTGGCTGTGGAGAACAGAGCAGGGCTCTTAGATGGTTTGCAGATCTCTGGGGTCCAGAGGTGTCACATTGGAGACAAAAATCATCCATAGGTGGAGGAAGGAGGGACAGGTATCCTTAGGTTTGGGGAAATCACAGTGGAGAAACCAAGAAGGGCTTTGAAGCTGGGTCAGGGGGTAGTGGGTAGCATAGCAGCAGCCATCTTGGGTAGGCTCTGGGGCAGCCTGATTCTGCCTCTCAATCTGCAAAAGAGTCTTCCAGGGTGCTGGACTGCCCTGAGTCTGTGGGGGAGAAATCAGAGTTCCATAGATGGGGTTTGGCTTGGCTGACATTACCTGGAGGCCATACTCATGCATTCAGTAGCTATCCACAGAGCAATTGCTATATGTTCCATGATGAAGGAGCTGCCTCCTGACTCACAGATTCTGGGGCAGGGATGTCTTACCTGTCTTGCCTGTGGGTCTCCAGGGTTTCTTCTCTGGCCTGGCCAAACACCCATAGGTCCTCTGCTTATCTTCCTGCTACCTGTCCTTGACATTGGAAGAAAAAGTATTTGTACCTTCCTCACTCACCATGTGTGGGCTGAAACTGTTCCTTGAGCACTTTGTCTTGATGGTCTGTATTGCTAGCGACTGGAAGGCCAGGGTGAGGTTTGTAAATCATCACCATGTGATGGTTTTAGGAGGGAAGAAGGCTGGAAACCATGTCATTGTTGTCATTGGTGGATATCTCTTGAGCTTGGTGGCCATGGAGGTTCTAGGAGAAGGAAGCAACTGGCACCTGTGGAGACCTCTTCTGCCAGGTGCCATGAAACACTTTGCAAACACCATCTCACTTAATCCAGGTGACAGCTTTGTGAGGTGGACTGTGGAGACTCCACTCAGTAGGTAGTGCTGAGAGTGATTCAACAGCCTGAGGTCATGCAATGTCAGCTGGAGGGTCCGAGAGAGGCTTGGAAGTGAAGGACAGGCAGGAAACATTGCAGCAAGTCACCCACGCTTACCCATCCAAGGGTAGAGAAAGCAGCATGAAAGCACCAATGGGTTGTGCCCTTCTGTATGGGCTTTTTAGTCAAGTGTAAGTTTAGGGCCAGCTCACCCGAGGCTTTCTGATTTGCACATTAGAAACTGCTTGAGGATGCATCCAGGGTCCTCCCCAGACCACTTTCTCTCCAAAGGTTTCCTTGTAAACTCCCTGCTGTACATTACTCTCTTTCACATTAAGGCAAATGTCCCCCACCCCTTACTCCCTGGGCCTCTCTGTATGGAAGGCAAGCTCAGTGTTTCCCTAAGGAGCCCAGGGGGAATTTCAGGCAATATTAGGTCCTGCTCCTTGAGAAAGTGCTTCTGCATATTTCCTTTCTGGATGCAAAGCTTTGGTTGTTACCTGTTTTCTTGAAGAGCTCTACAGACCTCCTCAGTCTCCCCTTGGTGGCTCCTGTATACTGCACTTTCTCTGTGCTAATGAACCTTTGCCCTATCTGAGACAAACTACCTATTCATTTGGAAGATATGGAAACTGAGGTCAGCATGGGTAACTAATTTTTCCAAGGCTACATTGCCAATGACCCAAAGCCAGGGTCTAAGCTAGTCTGCCTGTGGCTACAGCAGAGGCTCTCTTCCCCATGGTCACCTGTTCCTGCTCCTCTCCTGCAAAATAGCGCTTCAGTCTTGGAAGACATGCACCTGAGCCTTCAAGGTCTGCCTTGACTGCATCCTCCTGCTAGCCTATCTCCTTCTGTCCACTGTGGCTTGCAGAATGAGAATCTCAAGTCCCTCCAAGCTTCTTGGGAAGTGTGTTGAGAATCCACAAGGGAGGGGTGAGGATAGGTAAGACACCTAAAAAACTAGCTAGCATTTGTTGCCCTTAATGCAGAGAAACTAAAGCAGATACCTTAAAGCAACTGAGGCCAATAGGAAAAGGGGACCAGGAACTAGAGAAAAGGTTAGATTAAAAAGAATTAACCTAGAAGGTAACACCCACGCACAGGAAATCAATGTGAGTCAATGCCCTGTATAGCTATCCTTATCTCAACCAGCAAAACCCCTTGTTCCTTCCTATTATTGCTTATACTCTCTCTACAACAAAATTAGAGATAAGGGCAAAATAGTTTCTGCTGGGTATTGAGGGGGGAGCGGGAGGGGGTGGAGTGGGTGGTAAGGGAGGGGGTGGGGGCAGGGGGGAGAAATAAACCAAGCCTTGTATGCACATATGAATAATAAAAGAAAAATGAAAAAAAAAAAAAAAAACAAAGTGTGGCATCTCCCTCAAGGGAGTGGACCTGACCATCAACCCCATGATTCCATCCTGGGCATGCTCCAGGCACTGCCTTTTCATCTCTTCTTCAGCAAACTTTGGACACTTTATGCTGACCATCCAGAGTCTAAGGCTCAACCCCCAGTGTATCCCTAAAGGACTGGTCCCCTTGGCAAAGTGCACTGTCCATATCTCTATCAAGAAAGAGGCTGTAAGAAACCTTTCCTCCTCTCACTTATCTCTGTCATTATCGAAGATGATCTACCCACTGCCACACTGCTAGACCCTGAGCTGGAGGGACACTGGTAAAACCACACAATTAGGTATAAAGCTACAAGCACCATGGGGAACATTCTGGACTCTGAGTGTCCCAGTTTGGGAGTCTGCTTCCCTGAGGAAGAGATTCCTGCCCTTAGGTCTAAAGCAGGAGTCGGTCAGTCAGAGTCCCAGGGAAGTGCTTCAGAAGAGCCCCTGGTAGCAAAGAACCTTTGAAGGGTGGTGGTAACCATCAGGCATACCCACAGACCAGAGAGACCCTCGTGCTAAAGCTGAGGGGCAGGGAGCATACACTGGAAGGAGCTGTAAGAAGGAGGTTTGCTCTCAGGTCATCTGTAACCTGTGCTTCCAACCAACAGGGAGAACAAGGACCTAAAGGAGAGAAGGGTGATCCTGGCCTGCCTGGGGAAGTGGTGAGTACCCCAGACTCTCAAGTTACACAGATAGTAGGTATCCATGGGCCAGTGGCTCTAGGTCTAAGTATACAGTCCATCCCAGGAGTCCAGCTGAGCCAAATGTGGTCCCCTTCTCAGTCCTCAGGTCTCTGGTGTCATCCTTGGATTTCAAATTTACCCATTGCATGTGCCTACGCCCCAACTCATCTGCTCAGCATAGGGAGATGAGCTACTTCATGGACAGATTATTTCATTTCAGGGACCACAGGGCCATCCTGGTGAACTGGGCCCTCGGGGACCCACTGGATCTCCGGTAAGAAAGTCCCCTGTCCACCTGTTGGAAATCCCTGCTCCCTTCTTTCCCTCCAGTCCAGTCCTACCAGACTTCTCGCCTGGCATTTCACGAATTCTCACCAGAGGGTGCTGTAGCAAGGCTCTGCGTGTCCTAGAGTCCCGGCCCCTTGCAAAGCACCCCTAAATTCATCCACTTGGGTCCAGGCCTACGCGAGGAAACCTGGTTGTCCCTGACTTGCCATTAAGGAACTGACTGAAGTGAGTTCCTGATTCTTCTGTTTGCCCCCTAGACTCAGTACACTATGGAGAGAGTGGCCTGGCAGGCAGGGCCATTCCTGGTTCCCAAAGCTTTTTCAGAGGCCAGAAATCACTTCACCTTCTCAGTCATTAATCAGCAAATCAGCAGCCCTGGTTTAAATGATGCCTGGTGCACATTGCATTTGTTTTCATTATTTTTCCTGGTCTGGCTGCTTCTCTGGATTTTTCTGGGCCATTGTTCAGGTTGTCTGTGAGCTCGGTACCATGTGGAAGTGTCTGGTGGAATGACCTATCTAGCTGGAATCCCCAGGGCTACTGGCTGGCTTTCCCTCATCATCATGCCCCTCTGTGCTCACATGAAGGGTCCGTGATGACACTTAGGTGACACTTGGACAATGGTGAGGACTGACTACAGTCTTTATATGCCAAGCCCCTGTGGTGGCCCAGGGAATGGTGGCTTTTGGTACCTCTTAGACCCTGTTCCCTTTCAGTGTGATCAGTTGATTCTGATGAGCCAAAGTTTGCTGAGACTTTTTGCTGTGAGGGTGAGGACAATATTGCCTAAGGTCTTCCACCTCTTACTTCTTCCCTTTTCTTCCATGCACAGGGTGCCAAGGGACAAGATGGCACACAGGGTGCTCCTGGAGCAGCTGGAAGCCCAGTGAGTTCTTATTTTCCACCTGACTCCTGGGGACCCTGTAGGGAAGGATGGGGCAGAGCATCTGCCCTGTGGCTCACATCTCCGGACTAACTGTGCGGGAGGTGGTCAAGAAGGCCCAGCCCACAATGGAGAAGCTGTCCAGGGCTGGTGGCCTTTTGAGCAGTGAGCACAAAGAGAAATGCTCTGGCCTCCACAGTGGTCCTAACAAATCAGGGCTTTGTCCATATGCCCAACTCACAAGGGAAATCTTTCATATGCACGCAGATGGTGTACACACACACAGAGATACTCATAGATGAGTTTGTTACTTTGAGAAGTGTGTCTAGGTTCATATCTACATATACATATTTTACAAATCCAAGTACACAATACTCTCTCTCACACACACACACACACACACACACACACACACACACACACACACACACACACACACACTGGAAAATGCAGACACACACACTTCCCAGTAGGCACCTTCTGAGCTCTTCTGCGTTGCTCCTGATTGTGGTCTACAGGCCTAGAATTGGGAATCTGGGTGTATTTGATCACAGAGGGGTTGGCACTTGTCCCTGAAGCTGAGACGAATTCTGTTACTTGCTACAAAGCTGCAGAGCTCAGACTTGTTTATGGGACTGGTGGGAGGCAGGATGAGGCCAACATGACTGGGCCTCCCAGGAGAGGTGACAGTAGTAAGAGGAGCAGCTGGAGTCTAGTCGCTTCTGAGACCACAGGCCAGAAGCCACTTAACATGACCAGGTCATTCATGGGACTGAGTGGGGACCAGGTCAGCTAAGGGTAGTGACCAGTGTGAATTCTGCAGAGGGGGCAGAAGGCCGGTTTCTTCCTGCAGTGCAGAGAGCTCTGCTGAGCTTGGCCTGGGCTAGAATGGAAGCAGGGTAGGCAAAAAGGCTGAGAACTTTGCATGCTACAAGATTTCTGACTCTCAGGATGCACACAGCCTGTGACAGTGGGGAACAAGGCTTGAAAGAAACCTGAGCTACTTCAATACTTTGAGAGTCCCCTGCTCCCTCTCCTCCAGGGCTGTGACCCACCTAGATGTCCTCACACATACCTCCTCTCATGGAATTATTGCCCTGCCATCAAGTTCTAGTTAAAATCCACTTTCTCTAAGAAGCATTCCCTGACTCTCCAGTTGAAGCCAACACACACACACGCACACGCACACGCACACGCACGCACACACATCTGCTCCTCCTCATTGCCCTTTTCCTGTGAATGATGCTAGCATCTTCAACATGGCGCAGACTAAAAGCAGACTTGCCATGGTCCCTCAGACTTGTAATCTTCCAAGAACCAGCAATTGATTATGAGCCCTGGGTACTGCTCCTTGTACATTCTCCAGGGACGCCTCTTTCAGTCCAACCCACAGTCAGCCAGCCATTGCCCACTCTGTCATCTCACTGTTCTCCACAGCTTGTCTAATGCCCTTCATCTGACCTTCTTCATTATATTAGAATGTTTTCTCTAATCTCAGCTCCCATATCCAGTGTCTTCTTTCTCCCATGCTTAGGATTAAGGCCAAGCTTCACCTAAGATCTTCATGCATGAGTAGGGACTGTTCTCTTTGCCACCCCTTCCTGCCTTCCACATGCACCCACTCTGTGTGTAGGCTTAAGGAACTGCTAGAGTCCTCCCTCCTGTCTTCCCCTGTGTGCTGCATGCCCACTGATTTGAGGCCTGGCTATTGGGACATGATGGCTCTTAAGGGAAGGAGGTTCCTACTGTTTGTGAAGGGAATGTTAGGTTGGAGGTGGTTCCAGCAAGTCATGGTGACTGAGAATGGGAAATGTGTGGAGTGGCCAGAAACAGCTATTTGTAGTGAGGACATTTGGTCTTTCTAAACTGCTCTGTATCTAGGGTACTCCAGGACCCGCAGGACCCCCAGGTCTCAGTGGCCTTCCTGGAAGTGTGGTGAGTAACTGGGAGAGGGCAAAGACACCATCATGGGTTGTGGACCTATACTGTCTTCAACGAAGTTAACTCCTCTGTCCTTCCTGAAACTCCGAGGTGTAGGAATCATTACCGTAATTTCATAGGTGGGGACACTGATGTCATGACAAAGGTCACCCAGAAAGTTAGCAATCCTGAGGGTCTAGGTAATGTTTCAGCTTTCCAGGTGGTAGACTTAAGTGTGATTGCAGAAAGTCTGTACATTTCATGAATGTTGTTTCTTTCAAAGAGACAAAATGAACCTAAAAACGTCAAAGGTCCACAACTGGCCATTACACATTGGAATTCTTATCCGGGTCTCTCGCTGGAGGGCATTAAGACCTTGGCCAGCCACTCCTTGAGGCCATAGCTTTTTCTTCTGCAGAGTGGAAGCAGAGGCTGTGCTGGTTGACCTTTCAGTCCCACCTTACCTGACCTGCCAAGATTCCACCTCTCCCTCTCTGATGAGGTGACTTAAGCTGTCTAATGGGCTAGCTTTATGATACACCATAAACATTGATTTAGACTTCAGCATTCTTTCATAAAACATGCAATGGCATCCAGTCAAGGGCTATTAAGAATTTATCCTTCATAGTAGATGTAGGTCAGTCTGTGCATTCATCAAACCTTTATAGGTAATAATCATCCTAGTTTGGAGGACAAACACTGGACGTTTAGATGTTCTCAGTGCATTACCTATGTTAACTCATCTCATCACAGCCTGTTAAATGGCCACTGTAGGTCCTACTGTACACAGGTGGAAACTGAGGCACAAGGAGACTTGAGTCCTGTAGGAAGGGAGTCATGCTCATGTAGCCCTGCCTTTGCACACTGCACACATCAACTTCAACTGCCAACCCTGCTTTCCTTTGCCTGAGCGTTTGATAAACACTTTGTCCAGCCACATGCATGTGGCTAGTCGCACCACCAGAAGCAGCCCTAGGCTAATGGAGGGATAAGCAGCCCAATGACTTTGCCCCAGGTGGAATAAGTGGTGGGGGGGCTCCCAGCTTTCCTGGCAGGACTGAGTTCCAGTTTCTCAATGTGTTTCTAGATGTCCGCTGTCCTCTTTTCTCACTGTCCTAGTTCCCTACTGGTGTGCCCATGGAATGCTTACCTTGAACCTTGTTTCAGAATAAATTTTTTGGGAACTCCACAGGCCCAGTTAGTTCTCTAATGTAGAACTTGTATTCTTTGGATCATCTGTGCCCCCCGTGGTATCTGCTTTCTTGGGGCCTGTCCTCTAAGAGCTCCCAGCTGAGAGGAGGCAGAGCACTGTGCAGACCATACCTGCTTTTCAGAGCTTTGACATAGAGGTGTAGGGTCAGAGCTGCGCAAGGAGATGGGCCTCGGGGAACTCAAGTCAGGAGAGGGACCAGGTGAAGTAGTGCTGAAAAGGGGACAATGTACTCTTGCCTGGCCACCAAGAAACTGACACTGTGAATAATCTTTCTTTCTTCAGGGCCCCCCTGGTGTCAGAGGCCCCCCTGGGAAAGATGGGGAGCATGGTGAGAAGGTAAGAGCAATGCAGTCTCTCAGCATGGGAGCATCTATTCTGGGATCTTGCTGGCAGTGGAGGAGGAGCTCACTCTGCTCAGGCCTCTGTTAAGACCCAGGAATCAAAAGGGATTGTGCAAATAGGAGAGAGAGAAGAGGTCATGCCATTTTGTCATCTCCTCTAACCCTCCCAATAGACCTGTGAATCAGATGAACACCCCTTTGACAAATGTGGAGTTGGAGGTTCTGAGAGGTGAATTCATTGCCCACATCTCATAGCTCATGAGCTGAAGGGCCAGGCCTGTCTAACTCGAGATCCTAGCTTTTGTCAGCTCAGTGTTCCAGCTCACCCATTTTATTTATCAGGAAGAAGAGAGAAACAGTGTCCCCTTTCCATGACTGACAAACTCTACAGGCTGAGGAGGAGAAGCACATCCTCTAAAACCCATTGCATGTTGCTCTGACCCAGCACTCTAGGAAGTGTCCAGAGCTTGGGAAATCCAAAGCGCTCATTTGAATAACCTAGGCAAGGTAGGCAGGTTTCAGACCTAGGTCAGATGCAAGCTCCGATGTCTTAGATGATTTGTGTGACTCTAAACTAGGGGATAGCAGTGGTTCTCAATTTGGGGTAATCCTGCCCCTCCTGACATGTCTGGTCATAACCACTGGAAGGAGGGACTGCTACTGCCACGTAGTATGAAGAGGCCAGGGATTCTGTTAAAATCCCAGAACACACAGGACAATCCTCCATCCTGCCCCAAGAATCATCCACCTTGAAAGTGGTGCCAAGGTTGAGAAACCCTATGCTGACTGAAGGTACCCCTCATCTATGGCCATACCACCCTGAACACTCCCGGTCGCGTCTAAAGGTACGCCTCTTTGCATCTGGATTTGCTCAGCTGTAAAATGAGAGTGATAATAGGTATGATTAGTTTTAGTTGTGAAGATTAGCTGGAGAGCAGGGGAGGTAGGTGCCCAGGCTCAGCAGAGGACAGAGCTGATGTAGGGCTGACAGCAGGTATGTCTTGCCCACCCATGTGAACAAGTGTCCTCTCCTTCTGATGGATCATCCTCAGAGGACTCCCCCAGCTCACACACGTCTACCTTCTTCATACAGATTCCTTCCAGCCTGCTTTTCCTGGAATGTTCTAAAGTGATTCTTTAGATCACTTTATTTTTGTAAAATGTAATATGTAGTTTGCATTTTAGTGAAAGACTCAATTTAAAAATCTATGTTTCAGAGAAAATAATTTATTTTAGGGAAAAGTTGTCAACCAATCTGTGGAAAATATCTTGGGATTTGGGACTGTTAGTTGATCACAGGTTTAATAATTACCCTTATGTGATGTACATGCTAATTTTTTGGAAAAAAAGATAATATTACAGGCTGCTGTAATGAGTACAGTACACAGACTAAACAAAAGAAAAATAGCTCTTTTTGCTGTTTTCTGATTATACTATGTCTGAAGGACCCTACATTATAATCAAGTGTCAGAGGCACTCTATTGTCAGAGTGTTGACAATCTAGAAGATTGACCAAAATGTTAAGAGTTTTATGAGGACCAGCTGAGTATTCATAACCCACAAAATCAGTGGGCAGCTGGCTCATTCAACCACTGGGGGGAGCCAAATGCCTTCTCGTTCCCAGGCTGAGGGCTGAGGCAAGCCTAGCACTTTGGTATAGGGAACCTTTGGTGCTCTGCAAAGTGACGAAAGTCCCCGACACTACAGTGTGCTCTGTCTTTCATGTCCAATGGTGGGCCTGGGGAAGGCTGAACCTGACCTGGGCTTGGAAAGACCCTCTCCACTGCTCCCTGTTAGTTGTGGTTCATATTCCCTTACCTTCCATCAGAGAAGGGATGGGCATTCAGACTGCAGTTTAGCAGGAGCTAGCAGGAAAAAGGCATCCCATTGGATGGGGGCTGCTTATAGCTTTGAGGTCAGAAAAAGGTGAGTGAGTATTGGCCTGGAGGAAGTTCAAGCTCCCTCAGTATCCTGGTCTATGTGCTCTCTGTTTTGTTCTCTCTCCCTTTGGATCCTCAAGCTTTGTTCATATTCTTGAAGACTTATCATGTGAAGAGGGACTAGATTTTTGTCTGCAGATCTCCAGGGAGCAGGTTAAAGGTCAACTTTGGGGAAGTTGTCAGAAGGGACCATCTTATTGCCATAAAGTGATGTTGTATAGCTGAGCTGTCTCATGAAGGGAGTGCACAGCCTGTAGGGGATATGTGCCCTGCTCAGAGTTGTTGAGCAAGAATGGAAGACCATCTGTGACAGACACACCGACAGTTTCCTATAGTGGTAGAAGGATGCAGTAGGCAGTCAGTGACATGACATTGTGCTTTTGCTACAATGAAGTATCACAGACCAAGTGACCTAAACAGCAGAGACTTACGGTCTCATAGTTCTGGAGACCAGAAGTCCTAGATTGAGGTGTAGCAGATTGACTCTCTCTGAGGGCATGAGGGATTATCCAGTACAGCTTCTCTCCTTGGTTACCAACCTGCATCTTCCGCCTACATTTTCACATAATCTTCTTTCTGTATGTCTGTGACTACATGTGACCTTCTTAAAAGATCACCAGTCATATTGGATGAGCCCCATTGAGAGTCTCACTCCAGGATAACCTCATCCCAACTTCACTAGCTACATCTGTTAATACTCTCTTTTACGCTGAAGTACTGGGGGTTAACACTCCAACTTGTAAAGTTTGGGGGTACAGAATTCGACCTGTAAATCCATTATACAGTCCATCTTTTCATGCCCCCAGAGATACGGGCTTTCTAAAATTGTCAGAAAAGCCCCAAGGTTGCCTTACCAACCCCACTCTGGCTGGCTCACCATTGGAAAGCTGAGCTCTGTATTACACTAACCCTGGAAAATGTTCACTTTTCTCTCCAGGGAACAGCGGGGGAAGTAGGGAGCCCAGGGCCAGCTGGACCCCGGGGTGATCCTGGTGCTCCTGGACTCCCTGGGACACCTGGAAAGGGCAAGGATGGCGAGCCGGTGAGTGGTAGGCCAGGGGATTTCTGCACCTGGGAAACTGGGCTAAAATTGGAAAAGAAAAAGGAAAAAGAATTGAAAAAATCGCTACCAAACTTTGCAGAAAGTGAGTCATAGCCAATGAACTTGGATTGGTTGGGAAAGGGGAGGCCTGGAGCAAACAGTGTAATGAAAGTTATTTAAGAATTATTAATTCTGGAATCTTCCATTTAGCATTTTCAGACTGTAATGGACCACAGTTAACTGAAACCTTGGAAAGTCAGGCCACAGATAAGCTAAGGGAGAGGGGCCCAGTGCCTTTCTAGGCAGCACAGAACACGTGGACTGCTTGCTGCTTGCCAGGCTGGGCCAGGTGCTAAGGACACAGAGATGGATCAGACAGCCTATGCCCTTGAGACACTCATGATTGAGGGAGAAACAGTCATGAAAATGAGTAGCTGTACCTCACAGCAGTCATAGGTGGGCACATGTAGAAGGGTTTTCTGGTATATGCTGGCTCTGTTAGCCAGTACTTCCAAAGTATTATTTTAATTTTGGCTGAGTCCTGCATCAAGCAAAGCCCATCAGCCTGGAGTGGAAACCTCTCCCATGACCCACCCTAGGTCTCAATAGCAGGGCAAAGAAGAAAGAGCTTTGGAATCAGGAAAGCCTGCTTTGAAGCCTGTCCTTGGCACTTACTTGTGGGAGCCTGCAGCATGAGGACCTTCAGTGGAAAAGCAAACCATGAGATTTAGCCACGCTCACCTTGAAGCAGTAGGTGGCAGAGTCAGAAGTCACGACTAGGGCCTTGTGTCTGAAAAATACTGTTTTCCTTTGTGCAATCAACTCTATAATCTGCCCTGGACCCTGCAAAGGACAAATGCATCCCAGCACATGGAGGATAGGTCAGTGCTCCCTCATGATTCCATACCTGTCTTTGTATTGTTCATTTCACCAGGGACTTCGAGGAGCACCTGGATTACCTGGACCCCTGGGAACCAAAGTGAGTAATTACCCAAACAAATAGTAGATGGCATGGGGTGCACTTAGAAAGAAAAGGACCGTAGAAATTTTATTTTGAGCTTCTCTAGTCATCTCAATCCACTTCCACATTTCTAAGCTTATCACATTCCATTTGACTAAAGTTTCTGTGACTCTCAACTATTATTTCGAAGTAATACCCCTACATTTACAGTCAGTGCTTAATAAATGCTTGCTGATTAAATGAAATCACAAGAGACACTAGCTTTCGCCTGGCTGAGCAAAGATCTAAGTTGTCTCATATTATTAATCTAATTTTGGTTACAGATGGTACCTGAACTTCAGAGGCTTAATGCAATCAAAGTTTACTTCTCACTCACATTAGGTCTGATGAGAGTCATGGGGTGGGGGAATCCTGGTCCATAAAGCCTTTCAGGGTCTTACATTCTACGACATCAGCTCTTCCATCCTTCTCCAAAGCCTTGGTATACAGTCATGAATGAGGGGAAAGAAAGAAAGGAGAAATTGCTAGGAGGAATTTATGGGCCAGGCCTGGAAGTTAGTAATTAGTATTTTCCCAACCTCAAGTGATGGTTATGACAGGGGAGGCTGTGGAATGTCATCTTGTTGTGCACCCAGGAGGAAAAGGGAAATGTTGGTGAATGTTGTTAAGTCTCTTCCTCAATTCACCAGCTGATTCACTCCAGAAAAGACGACTTTTCTCATGAGGAGGCGCTCTCCTGAGTGAGCAAGAATTGTCCTGTGGTTATCTACGTGAATCACTCATCCCTTTGCTCGTTCATGCATTGATGACCAGTGCAATTATTATTCCATCCATCACACATCTACTGAGCTTTTAACTGCCAGTCCGATTTTAGAGTGGGCTGTGGGACAACAACAATGCATGTGATAAGCATTGAGTCTCTAGCAGCTCATGGTCCACAGGAGCAAATAGAAGTATAAACAGCAAAGGCGGTCAAGTGCTGGAGGGAAGGAAGCAAGGGTAGAACGAGCTCAGAAGCAGCTGTCTCACCCACACTGGTTTCATTGTGGATGTCTTCTTGGAGGATTTGATGTTTGTCTTGGTCTTAAAGTGCATGTGGCAGCTGACACAGGGAAGAAGAAGGTGAGGAAGCAGACCTTGTCAGGGGCATGAACTTGGAGGAGACAATGAGGTGGAGATGGAGTGTGTTCAGAGAAGAGTGTGAGCTGTAAACTTACCACATCCAGTGAGAACTATTTCACCAACTCAGATGCATACACTTTAAAGGATGTGGGTCAAAGAGAGGCAGTGATTGATATTAGAACACTTAGATGCTTGGCTTTAACTTGATACGTATATTCACAATTACACAAAAAAATGTCATTGTAAAATTACTTCTTACCACCTGCATATATTTATGAAAACATTTTTTAAAGTCTTTTTTGCCTTCATTGCAATGGCCTTGCTATCTGCCATAAAGCAGCATGTTTCTTCTGAATTAAGTAGCATTTTTCTGAAGCACAGTACTTCCATCCTAGCTGGTATTTTAAGATTCAGCACTTTTGCAATCTACATATGCTGCTGTTAGTGGAAGTCTTATTCCAAGCCCCAGAGACCAATCACCTAACAAGAGACATTTTTTCCCTTTTATTCCTTTTACTCTGTAGCTGCACCTTTGGGATTTCAATGACATAACCACAGAGTGTATTGCTTTTAAAATTGAATGTAAGAGGTTTTCTTAAATAACATCCAGCGTAGAGAAGTTTGAAGCTCCAGGGATGCTTACTGTATCTGCATCGAATGTCTTTGCTTCATGATTTGTCTCCTTATTCAAGAGGCTGGCCTCTGTAAGCATCTTAAGCTTGCACTAATTGAGATTGTAGTATGCTAATGTGCTTGCAATATGCTAATTTTATTGTATTGTCTGCAATCAAAATTTTTCCTCAATGGGAGAATTACTTGCGTGCCAGAAGTAAATATATAACAGTTCCCTATTTTCTGAAGAACAAAAAGGGACTGGCTTTGCCTGAAGTTGGGGGTATATAAAATAGCTCCATGTGCCGGGAGCAGTGGGCATCAGTGGGTGGAAGGAGGAGAGGGAAGCCAGGCCCAGCTGTAGGAAGCCCCCTGGATTTACAGCTACCTGAGGAGCATAATGGAGTCTCCCTGCCACCAGTAAACCTAGCCCAGATTCATCTGCAGGGCCTGAGCACTCTGAATTGTTCCCTCTTAGAGAAGAAGCGCCTCAGGACCCAGAAGACATTGCTAGTCATTTAGAGGAAAGCTTCCTTCTGCACTAAAAACGGCAGAGCAGCAAAATGGCTTAAAATGTCCTTTTTCTGTGATAATTATTTATAACAATTTATCTAATACTAAGAGATTTTTTTCTTCATTTATTTTATTCTGAAGCTATATTTCTGAGATCTCAGCAACATAACCATAGGTGGAGTTTGGGGAAAAATAAATGATATCATGCCAATAAAAATAGTGCCCTAGCATAGTGTTTGTCATACTCACCTGCTCGAGAAATATTTGTGATCCATAATATTTGATCATTCTGTGGATTCTGCTTTAGGGTTGCAGCCAGAAGGTGGGCACCCAAAGAGTCTGTATCTGATCAGAAGGCATATTGTTAAAGCCTGGGGAGAAGTGAGGTGGGTGAAGGCATCCTTAAAGATTAGAGAGGCAGGTTGAGACGCTGGTGGGGTGAGGAGTGCAGAGACCCCTGGCCCAGTCCAGTTGACCAACCAGTTTCAACTCCATCAGGCCAATGTTTCCCTTATTTAAGATGTGAGACTTTAAACAGGTGACCCTTTGCATGGTTGATATTATATGTATTTGTAAGGTTGAGTGTGGTTTAGAAGTAAAGGTTTCCATTGTCAAGGCATGGGGAAGATAAGTTGGAATCCAGAGTCATCTTTAGCTTGGGTTGCTCAGGGGGAAGAAGGTGGGAAGGTATGCCGGGAAGAAGGGAAGGACGGATGGAGAGGAATCCCAGGGTACCTTCTGCCTGCCTTGAATGAGAACTGTCCCAGATGCTGAGTGAATGCATCTCAGGGCACTAAGAGAGGGAACAGCCTGGAGGTTTCTCCTGGTACACCTCAACCCTTCCTGATTACTGGTTTTGCAGTAGTCTTAGAGAAGTCTTGCTTCTGGTAGAATGAATATGTATGGGCTTCATACAGAACTTGCTTAGAATCCCAGCTCAGTTACCTATAAGACAGATGACTTGAAAGATGGCTTTGTCTTTCTGAGACTCTCTGTTCCTTTGCTGCGTGAAGGAGTAAAGAATAGTTGACATTGAGAAGAGCTCCTTCAGAGATAAGTGATGTTAGGGGATCATCATCCCTAACTCTATGCATGTCCTCTCCATCCAGAACCCCAAACTTCCCCACAGATTTCTTCCCTGCAGTCCACGTTACAATCCTAGTTCATGCACCACTTTCCATCTTACTCATTAGCCTTCTTGCTTTTGCTGACAGAGCATTAAGGTTTTTACTCTTTTATTCTCTTCTTGGGTCATTTTCTTTTCTTTTCTTTTTGGTGGGACTGAGGTTTGAACTCAGGACTTCATGCTTGGAAAACAGGTGCTCTAACACTTGAGCCACACCTCTAATCCATTTTTCTCTGGTTGTTTTGGAGATGGAGTGTCAGGAACAATTTGCCTGGGCTGGCCTGCAACTGCGATTGTCCCAACCTCAGCCTCCCAAGTAGCTAGGTTTATAGGCACCAAGGCTGGTGCCCAGCTCTTGGGTCATTTTCTAACATATAGTTCATTAGGCTGTGAAGAAGTTTCTTGGGAGAATTGTTGCTTTAACACACAGATGGAGCCAAATATGGCCATTGTGCAGAAAAATCAGTCCAGGGTTCAGCACTGCCAGGCTGGGTGGGGATGGTCTGTCTAGCATGTTCCTTCCAGTGGAGAAAGCTTATTTGGATCAAAGGCAGAATTCTGCATCTGACAAAATGTGGCTGATGAAGGATTACCTATTCCTGCAGCCAGGGCCACCAGTGCCAGGCCCTAAGCTAAACACTGTGGACCCACTGTTGCATGGTATTGTATCCAGTATAGGATCTAATGCATTTGAAGTACTTGATAAATATTTGTTGAATGAACAAATGAATGGAGAGTCTGTATTTTCAGTGCTTACAGAGAATTAAGAAGTGAGATGCACAAATGAGGGGGAAATGTGTTAAGTTTAATGAAGATGTTACAAATATTTGTGAGAAGACAGAAGAGGAAGTCAGACTGAGGCAACTGTGTGAAAATTGGATGATTGGACTAAGCTAGTTGATGGGTAGGTGCTTGGAAGCTTAGAATGTGGACAGATGAATGTCTCCTGTAAAGGCAACAGCAGATGTAAGAAGCAAAGGTAGATGCAAATAGAATGGAAGAATACGGATTTGGATGTGGATATGACTTACCTTGCAGAGGTTAAGGTTTGTTGATATACATTGACTATGGCTTTGGGAAGGGGAGGAGAACCTCACCTACTCCATTGTTGCAACAAGCTAGTGACAGATAAGTCACAGATCATGTTTATTCTTAGTTCATCTTACTTGTTTTCATATTTGTCTTATTTCTTGACCTCCTCCCTTCCTCACCCTCCCTATAAACAGTAATTGATTTTTGGATCCTAAGTGTCTTATGCTCTCCAGACCCAGCCATACCTTATTATTCTAAAGAAACAGAATACATTTGGTGGGAATAGTTCAAAAATGAGGAAAGAGTTACTGGGAGAGTGAAGGTAAGGGGTCCTGCAGTTCTCAGGGATCAGGGATAGCAGGTTGGCCCTGGAGGGACAAGGAGAGTGAATGGTACAAAGAGAGCCTAGAGAGGGATTAGTATCTTGGTTCCTATTTTTTTGTAAGGACTTTATAAGCTTTCCTCCCCATCTCTGTAAATGACACCCTATTTCGAAACTTAGTACTGAGCACTTGCAGTAAGCAGGCCTCATGGCTGAGTCATCTATTGGGCTTGGAGCCTAGATCACTGCTAGCAATGAACAAACAATGAACACTAGCTGAATGAATATACAACTTATGCACTCATCTCATCAGTGCAGGAAAAGCAAATCATCTTAGAAGCATCACTTTATTTAAAGATCCCAAAATGCAAGATTTTATTGTTGAAATGATAGATAAAGGATAGGCTGCTTATTAATGATATTTTAAGTGCATACAAATGTAAATCTTAATAAAGCAATATGTTGCCTAGCAATATTGGGTTCTACCTGAAATGAGTTTGCTATTCATCATCTTATCATTCCTTATGACCAGCTTCTGAGGCTGTTTTCACTTGTGATACACATTCACTCATCCCAAGGATGTTAATTGGCTTCAGCAAGGTCACCTGCCATCTCAGTGTCAGGCTGAGCTGCAGGTCAACTGACCTAATATAGGTATCAGAGGATAGTCCATTGTACAAAATTGGTGGGGCTGTGTACATTTCAGATCAAAGTTATCTGGATTGTGGAAAGGTAGTAACAGGCAAACTACACATCTCATGTCATTCACTGTGGGGTCTGGGAAAGCACCCCAAGCAAACTCATTAATATGTAGGTGAAAAGTATGAATGTTCATACAAAATGGGATGACCAAAGACAGAACCAGCCTGTGTCAGCACAAAGCAGGATTTGCTGCCAGTTGAGTTATGATTCACACTCATTTTCAGAGATGGAAGATGCTGAAATTGTAGAAAAAGTGTAAATTTGCCTCAGCTTCCTCTTTCTCCTTTTCCTTTTACCATTTACTCCACAGTGGTAAGTGGATGAGAACAGCAGCAAATGCAATAGCTAGCTTATGCTGAGTGTGTGCCTGGCTCCAGGCCTAGAGCCCTCTCTGTGCTGTCTGTGCTCAATCTCATTAATGAGGCCAGTGTCTGCTGACATGGTCACTCCTCCACTAGCTACCCCAAAGAGATGAAGAAAATTACTGTCAGAGCACTTGTCACTTTCTTAAGGCCAGCTCTTAAACCCAGGCCTCTGACACCTAGGCACATACATCGTTAATCACTATTCTTGAAACAAAGTTTTATCTCAGTCATCCTTGGGCCTCTAACTCTCACAGCCAGAAAAGTGACCTGCAAAATGAAGATACTGGTGATTTTTCGACAAATTGATGAATTAATTTATGGGCAATATGGAATCCAAGTTGAAACGCTGGATACGTGTGTGGTTAGAAGGGAGATATAACTTTGAAAAAAACACAGCAGATTTGGACTGGTCATTACAGGGGGAGGGTCAAAGTGTTCTAATCACATTTCAAGCCATTGTCAAGGTTAGGAAGTGGTCAACCTTGAAAGGTATATATGACCACAGTTATTAGGTGTGGTCCGTTTAGTGCCAGACCACAGCTCCCTCAGTGGATCCTGGAATGGCACACGAGGCTAGGTGATGGGAGATGAATGGGTAGAGTGCTATTCAGGATCCTGGGAGGAGCGTAATTCTTACCACACCCTGGGCCTCTCCTTCCTAGCCCTGACCTCTTAATCATATTTTTTTTCTCTTTCTAGGGGGACCGAGGAGCACCTGGGATCCCTGGGTCTCCTGGCAGCCGTGGAGACCGAGGCATTGGGATTGCCGGCCCTCCTGTGAGTCTTGGTTCAGCCAACACTTTTACTCCCAGCCATGCAGCCCTTCTTTGCTTGCTCCCATATGAGGGTGCAGCTTCTTCCTGCAGGGACACTCCTGTTCCAGCTAACATGGTAGTGGGTCACTGACCTTGGGGCTAGTTGGGTAGAAAGTCTGTGCATGTGGCCGACACTTTTGTAAACCCTTATATGTCTTATGGAAATAATAAGAATATGGCTTTTGGAGAGATTAAGACCTGTCTGATTCAAAGAAAGAAAAAACAAATCTCAAATTTTTAAAAAGATATAAGAGACTCATGAGACAAACTTTGAGAAATAGAATCATAGACAATGACATTGGGCTGGTTGGAGAAGGGGTCTGATATGGAAAAACACTGTGCTTTCATGTATTTTAGACAAAAAATGAGTTAATTACCTTGCTTCTCCTAATTAGTACAGGAGAGGACATACATGGAATCACATTTCCAAAATAAAATCTATGAAGTTTTAATGGCCAGTTCATATCAGCTAATGTGTGTGAGTTTTCAAGCCCCTGAGGAGTGGTAGCTTTAAGAATTTCTAATATCTTTGAGTTATAAAAGTCTGTAAGGATCAATGAAGTCTAGGCCCTCACCCAAATTGAGGTTCATTCTCAAACCACACCAGCTTCCCCCTGAATACCTCTAGAAACAGACAACACACTTCTTCCAAAGCCAGTACACCTAGCTCTGAAATTCAGAATTGATTTCCCATACACTAGAGCTTGGTTTTCATTGAGAGTAGACTGTGGTCTTTTGTATCTTTCATCCATTGCTTCTTAATCTTCCCATTGTACCACCACAAAGCAAACATCTTCCCCCACCCCTTCACTGAATGATAGCCTTTAGAATTTGAGGACAACTTTCACTCTTGAAACCTTTCTTTCTTTTATTAGGAGAAAGCCAAGATTTATTAAGTTGCCATTAAAAGGGAAAAAATGGGGGCAGCTAGCAAAGGAGCATGCCTCACTGTTACTTCAAAGAAACTGAAATACCCAATCTTCTTCAAATGTCATTGCTAAATCTTGGAACATCCCAACTATCTTTACATTACTTACTACTATTATTTTAGGAGCATTTAATACTATCATTTTACCCAGATGCACAATCTAAATTTATTCCTACTAAATGTAACCTGGATACAAACCAGAGCAGCACATGACCTACTTTGTACTTTGTTTCACATTGAAGAAATCCAGACCACACCAAAAATATTAAAAGTATTCTCGTTCTTCATATATAACTCTTAAAGAATAAGAAGGGAAATTCAGCACCAGGTGCTGTGATTCACGCCTGTGATCCTAGCTTCTTGGAAAGCAAATATTAGAAGGATCACAGTGTGAGGGGTGGGGAGAGGAAGCTAAGTAAGTTTTCTCAAAAAGAAAAAGCCAGTGTTTGGTGCATGCCTGTGATCCCAGCTATTTGGGAGTCATAGGTAGGAAGATAAGAGTCTGAGGTCAGCCTAGGCAAAAAGCCCCAGATCCTATCTGAAAAATAACCAAAGCTCAAGTGGTAGAGCACCTGGCAAACAAGCTTGAGGCCCTGAGTTCAAAATCCTGTACTGCCAAACAATGGGGGTAATCCAATTTACTACCCACAATTTCACTTATGAAAGTCCTCTTTCCTTTCCTCTGTTATTTTCACATATACAAGACAAGTCTCGGGCCTCTCTCTCTTTCCCTCCAAATGTTCCAGACCTCTCTGTCTTTTCCATCTCAAGCAGGCCCACTAGCAATGAGGACTCTCTTCAAGGTGGTAAGAGGTGGCTTACAAGAGGTGGCTCTTTGTCTTCCTAGATGTCCCCGGAAACCATGGAAGGAAAGTGTGTAATCCCTTGGGAATGTCTAGTTTAGTTTACTTGTTTTCCTCCAAAAGAAAAAAAAAAGGCTCAGAATGTCTGATGAACAAAACCCTGAACTTCATTACATCAGTTTTATCTTTTTTCCCCTAGTCTTCTATTTTTTCCCCTCATCTTGTAAATGGAGAGCTATGTGGCAAAAATGCAGTGAAGAAACACAATAGTCCAGGCTTCTTATTTCAACATTCCTCTTTTTAGTAGACCCTATCCACTAGAATTAGGGTTTTGATTCCTGATGGAATTGCCCCTTAGAATAGAAAACCAACCGTATGTGAAACTGCAGACCCTTGACTCGGATGTGACACAGTCTACCCATCAAGCCCTTAAATAGAGCCAGGTGGCAGAACTAGGTACAACGCATCCCACTTACGCGACAGCTAAAATCACCATGAAATAGCTTCCGTGCTAAGTGGTTCCACCTGAAAAGTAATTGGCTAGCTCCAGCCAAGAGACTATAAATCAATGGTTTAGTGTCTTTCTACCACTTCGACTTATTAAAAGCTTCCTTGGTAGATGAAACTTTATTGAACTGTCCCATAAATCCTCTCTTTGGCCACCAGCCTAGGCTGCTGATGGCGTAGCAATCTGCGTGAAGGGTTCAAGTTTATGCTGAGAGTAGGTGGTGGAGGAGGTGAAGAAGGAGTGTGTCAGGTTCATTGAGGATGCAGCTGCTCTGACACAAGAAGGTTGCCCTTTGTGGAGCAGTTTTGTGTCTGTCTGATCCGTGCTGGAGCTGAAAGCTTCATATCCATGGCCTCATTAATCCTGTGGGATTTGCTTTATCCTTTGGCTGAAGTGGCGATTTCAAGGGTGAGGAGTTTATTTGGGAGCTAATTCCAGAAATCACTCCTTAGGGAGTGACAAAGTGAGGCAGAGAAAGGAACAGAGGCCAGAGAGAGTATGCTATGAGCAGATGGCTCCTGTGAGCAGTCAAGACTCACTCTGCTGACCTCTGGGTGACTACATAGTACAGTCTTATAGTCAATCTGCAAAAGGAACGACAAAGCTGGGGTGTTGATGAACAAACGCCTGCTGGTCATTGCTAGTGGCCTACTCCCAGGAACTCTCAAGCTTCCCTGAGCATGAACTCTACATCAAGTTCCCCCCATCGCCACCCCCCCACACCGACAAAGGGGCTACCAGGCTGCTGTGTCCAGGGAATATGGAGGAGGAGTGACCTGTCTGCTACACCACTGTTCTCCAAGTGAACAGTTTGAGGTTCAGAAGGTGAAGTGGCTAGACTTGTGTCACAGAGCTAGCCCAGGGGTTGGGACAGAGTGTGGACAGACTTTTACTCCCTCTGAAGCCAGTTCTTATTTGTGTCGCCTTGCCTCCTGGCTTCAGCAAGACAGACAAGACTTACACATTCCCCTTAAATTCAACCAGAGAGGGAGAGCTGGTTGTAAGTTACTCTCCTCTGCTGCCTCCTAGCATTATGCTGCAGGCCTTTGGAATCCAGCACTGCACTGCCCCCCAGGAAGGGAGCCCTGGACTCAGTCTTCCAAGCTCTGCTCTATCAGAAGACAGAAGATATATGACCATACACTTGATCAAGGCTTTGCCTTTCTGCTTGAAAACAGTCAAAAAAAATTCCTTTAATCTCCAAGTTGTCTCTGATCTTCCTTTAGCAAGGTTTAAAATGCTGAAAAATGAGCTCTCTCAGGGCCTGGAGAGATCAAAGTGCTAATGAGATCCTGACACCAGGAGCTGTGGGTCTGTATGGACAAGGTTCCTGCTGGCACCCACATAACACAGGACCCATTTTTCCCAACTCTATCAGTTTCCTCATGGATTAAGTTCCAATAGTTTCTGTACACCTCGGGGAAGCAAGAGGATCACAACCTGATGCTTGTTGGTGATAACACCTGGCTCCATTCCTTTGCCCTTGCAATGTCAAAAAACCCTCTTTCCTTGACATCTTCCTCAGCCTTTGCAGCCCAAAGTGACCTGGAATTACTTGTACGGTGGCCTTGCTCTGCCTAAATACTAAATGCGCACAGGCCTGGGGACAGGCTCACTACTCTCCAATGGCCTCTTTGTCCAAGAGCAACCCCAAGTAAAAACCACAGACCAACCAATTATGGGCAAGGATGCATTTTAGATGTTCTACAGAAGAGTTTGCTTCACACTCTCCTCTACTTTCCAAGAAATAGTGCAGTAATGATAGAGATGGCAGCCACTAAAATGTGAGAGCAACAATAATCCAGCCAACACCGACTGCCTACTTGCAGGCAGTGAGCAGACGCCCTGGTATCGCTCCTCACTTCATTTTATGGGCATTCTCTCATTTAATCCTCCTCGTAGCCCTTCCACACCGGCTCTACTTTTTGTCTCATCTTCCAGATGAGAAAGCAGTCTTGGAGATGTGAAACTACACACTGAGGACATGGGAGAGCTGGGCTCGGCCCCCAGCACCCTGACTTCAAGCACGTATTCGGTTTTCACCCCACCTGTGTCTTTCAATGTCTGTGATTGCTCCTGAAGTATTGGCTTACATGGATAGCCAGATTTTTATTCAGTCCGGCTCCTTCAGTGGTAAAAAGCAGAAAAATAGGCTGGTTTGTTTCTCTTAGACAGAAGTATTACAGCCAAGTATCTTTTATTCTCTGGCTGCTGCTGGGAGACTCCAGGCCCAGGTCAGGAGTTGCCAAGGGCTGGGTTCCAGTCTTACCCCCAGGGCTGATCCACAGGAAGGGTGTGGGGCTTGAGTTTTTTAAAACAATTTGCACCCTGTCCATGCACAGAGCTTGGAAGTTCCTGTGAGCCGTGAAGCAGCAAGGCTAAGAAAGATGGAAAATGACCTACCCAGGTCCATGCTGCTCTGTAACCAGGAGCTGAGTATCTTGAAGTTGATTTTCAGATGAAAGTCTTAGGAGTGTCTTCTGTTGATGGGGAGGGGGGATTTTTAAATAACTTTCTGCTGTGACTTCTGATTGAGAACTCTTCTTTCCAAATGAAGCAAGCTTTTTGTTGGTTTTGATAATAATTCCTAAGGTATGTTTGAAATGGACCAGGCTCCAGAGTAGGCGCTCCACCTGTCATTACCTTTCCTCATCTTTGCTGTGGTCCGTCAGGTAGATGTTGTCAAGGTTTCCTGCCTGAAGATGAAGAGAGTGAGGCTTGGA